CACATCTGTCATTTTGACCATACATTGCTGTACCGGTGATTTCCGACAGTTTAACTAAACTTAGTATATACTTTCGAATTTCCTAAGCTCAGAGGCGCCTTTAAAAAGATATGAAAAGACCATCAAAAAAGACCATCAAAAGAGACCATCAAAAAAGATATCATAAGGCCGCAAACACAGCCGACAATCTATACGATCCAAAAGGTCCCAGGAGCTGATATCGGTAATGAAATCTTGGCTAGCTTCCCTGCTTCGAATCAAGCCTTCGATTTGATCAGTTCTCGCTGCCGGTTCTGACATTTCAAATGTAGGACCCGAGGACGTTCTGATCAGAATAAACGCTACCGGGCTCTGCATGAGTGATGTTCATTTCATGTCAAATGACTGGGCCCTTGCTCCAATGTCTTATTTTGGAACTCGGTGTGCAGAACACGAGGGTGCTGGTATTATCGTCAGAGTGAGCGACCGCGTCAACAGACTCAAAGTTGGCCAAAGGGCCGGTATTAAGCCAATTGCCGAAACCTGTGGCTCGTGCGAACATTGTATGACAGGGAAGGATCAGTATTGCCCAGGCGCAAAGCTAACAGGCTTCGTCACTAACGGCAAGTAATCCATTTGTTTCAACCGATCTAATTTAGATGCTCACATTGGGTAGGTACCTATCAACAGTACCTAAGAAGCCCCGAGAGGTATACAACCTTAATCCCGGATGGCTTGTCCGACTACACCGCAGGGCCGATTATGTGTTCTACTTCGACGGCCTACAGTTCGCTTAGGGAATCGGCGCTTGTCCCTGGAAACTGGGCTTTTTTTCCAGGCGGCGGTGGTGGTGTGGGAATTCAAGGCGTTCAACTTGCAGTAGCTATGGGACTACGTCCTGTTGTTATTGACTCGGGGGAGCAGAAGAGAAAGCTTGCATTAGAGCTTGGTGCAGAGGCTTTCCTGGACTTCAAAGAAATCGACGACGTTGCATCCGAGGTCATTGCCATTTGTGATGGTATTGGAGCGCATGGTGTATTTGTGACAGCGGGTGAAAGCTATCCAACTGCACTATCATACCTCGGCAATCGTGTGGGAGGAACGGTAAAGACAGCCCTATTGTGATCAGACGACTTTGGCTAATTCTTTCATATAGATGATGTGCATTGCTCTTCCAACTGCAGGTTCACACCCAATATCAGTGAGTGGTGCCGAATTGATCATGAAAAACAAGTCAATCAAGGGGACGCTGGTGAGCAGCATGGCAGATGCAGAAAAGACACTAGAGTTTGCGAAACGGGGCAAATTCCATTTGAACCCAGAGATTGTGGGATTATCCAGATTAAACGAATCTCTCCAGCGCCTCAAGAACGGTCAAGTTCCTAGGCGCATGGTTTTTGACTTCAATTTAGAATGAACGTCATCAGAACGTATCTATTTTATTCCTGTTGAAATTTCTCATCGGTCATCTGTTTTCTCTCCCTACAGCCTATATATTTGCCGGCATTTGTTGGAAATTGACAGAAATCTGGTTCATTGACGTATGGTAATAGTAAAATGATATGTGAGACTCTGAAATGACCGTATCTTTCGCTTTATGCTGCTGCATATGTCTGCTTATATGCTATTATATTTTATATGAAGCATCCGCTCATGGGTCGGAAAGAGAGGTTACTAGTAAATAGCACAGGGTGGGGTCATGATGATACGTTGGACTCCATGTCTGAGCCCAAGAATCCGATCTACACGCGCAATTTATACATCGACATACTACATATATATAATTTATGGAGACTTTGTGACCATTCAAGTGTCTCCATTGAATTTAGGCCACTTCAAATCAAATGTAGTGGGCTAAGGTGCCTTATTATCAAGGCCCCCAAGAACCTGTGGAGCCCTGCGATGTATGGAGTACATCGCTGCCCGATCACTAATTTCCTACATTCGTAGTGTAGTTGAGTATTATCGTCATCAATTTAATCTTGCAACGTGGAGGATCACCATATATATAGCGTGAACGATGTAGATCAATGTAGATCAAGGGGTTCATTTAGAAAATCCTTCGAGTCCTCACGTCACCACCGAAAAATGGGCCTCCGCTTGTTCAAATGCGGAATCTTCACTCCACTTAGATCTTTCACTAGCGCCCATGAAGCTCTGAGTAGCTCCGGGACAGATCGATGATCCCCATAAAAAAGTCTCAAAATCTCCAAAATTCCCCAAAGCGATGATGCAATGGCTTTCCAACCGACGTCACGGGGATGAAAGAAGCTTTCCGGACTTCCATTCCACACATCTCACCTCACCTTATAGTTTTGTTCTCTGCTATCCTCCTTTTTTCCCCTCATGACTTCTGTTTTATTTGAATTTGTTGCAGTTCCTGAATTATGGCAACTGTGCAAGTGACTCGCCAGTCCCGGCTAGCAGATGATGGTAAGACGATCGCGCATCCCATAATATCCGGTCGGATTGCTAACCTCACGTGAGATAGCCGCGACAGCTGCTCTTTATGTGACACATCCTAAACGTAGGGCATCTTTGCGCGCCCCAACCGCGACCAACACCCAGGACTTCAGTGAGTACTCCGTATAATTCCTCGATACGATAGGCGAATACACCCGAGCTGACAATGCGCCTCTCGGCAGACTCACGCGCCGTCGGTGGTACTCCAAACCTAAGCCACGCCTCGGCTGCCTCGGCTCTCGCACACGCGAATCGCAAGCCTGTCGAAGTATGGCGGCCCCCGACTAGACAGCCTGCCGCCGAGAAGGCCGCATTGTGCGTGAAGGACTACACTCCACCCCAGCAACCCCAACCCGCCACAGGGCATAGTGCAGAGGGGCTGGGGGCTGCAATGATCGCTGTGCGTGAACAGAGAGCCTCAGTGGGCCAGGCCCCTACATCTACTGGCCACAGGCGTGGCAGCTCAGCGACCGATCGATACCACCATACAGCTGTCGGTGGCAACCCAAAGGACAAGGCGCTTCAGGCAGCGACGGGCGCTTACACACTCTCGCGCAAGAGAGCCGACTCAGCACCCAGTGATCCAGGGGTTACCTCCGAATTATCCTTTGGCCGTGCAGCCGCTGGCGCATCGCGATATGCTCGGGTAGAAGAGGAGGGCCCCCTTGATCACTTAGACCCTGCTATGGAAGCAAGCCGGCTCCAACATGCCGCTAGCACTAACCCGAAGCTGTATACTTCATCGCCCCCTGTTCAATGCGAAATTGAGGAACAAAATTACAAAAACTCGCAACGCGCTGCTGCCATCTCCATGGCAAAGGACATGTATAGAGTCACCAGCGCCAAGAACCAATCAGGCCAATCCCCCGCCATCCTAGCGGCCCAAAAGGGACAGAGTCAACTGGGCTACCGCAAGACCGTATCCACCGCGGATGGGGCTGCCGTCCGGCGTGCAATCGCCCTACAAGAAGCAGCGCAAAAGCGAGCCGCCGAGAAGCTGGCGCTCATGCAAGATGAGCAGGTAGAGTACCAGCAATATTATGGCACCGCACCTCAACCACAGCGGTCGCGCTTGACCACTCGCCGCAAGAGAACTTCGAGCGACGCGGATGCCTCTCAGATCGACGCCGAGCAGTCGCGGCAAATCCGGAGCCAAATGACCAGCCTGCAGACCAAGTTGGACCAAGTAGATGTACAAAAGACAAGGGATCGTGAACTGCTTATGCAGGCCGCCCGCCGCAATGTGGACCAAACACTCCAGGACATGGAGGCACAACTTTACGCGAATACCGGTCGCGCTCCCCCTTCTGTACAGAAGGGATGGGATGAAGTTGCCCAGGAGCGCGTGCGACGGGAGGCAGAGGATTTTGAAGCCACTACCGCCCAAGGAAATCGAGTCAACATCGGCGGCCAAAAGTATATGGACATCGCCGACATTGACGCTGTCGCTCGGTCTCGCCTTCAGCCTACTTTTGATGAGATTACCGAGAATGCCGAGCTACGGAGAGCCCATGATATCGAAGCCCGTCTGGATGCCGAGGAGGAGCAGAGACATGCTGCCGTAGAGCGCCAACGCGAAGCTGAGGTGAAGGAGTTGGAGAAGCAAGAAAAAGGTTAGTTACTCTGTCTTTTCCTCTTTGAAGATATCCTCTGACCAATGAATTAGGTGCAAGCAAGCGGGACAGCAGATCCGAGAGCAAAGTTCCCAAATTCTTCTTGTGGAGGAAGAAGGGTAAACGAGCTCGGGTCGAGAAATCGGAGACCGAAGAGGCTCAAGCTGTCTCGCCTATCGCCCAGGGAGCTATAGTAGAGCCGCTTCCGACTACAGCCCCGTACAACAATGTCTCGACTGAAAGTATTCCCGAGCAAGCTTCTATTGAGACAGGAAACAATGCCTCGACGGTCACTATCCCCGACGAAGGTTCTGTTGTGACGGAGACAGCCGGTCCAGAAACGGCGGTTGCAGCGATCTCATCGGTCCCAGAGACTGAGCTTTCAAAGGCCGGTGAAGACGACGTGCCCGCGGCAATCCCACGGCGGCCGATACGAAGCCAGACGGAGCTTCCCCAGATCGAGCAGCGAGATGCAGCCGCCTCAGGCCCTCCAATCGTGCACTACTTCACGCCGCCAGTCTCAAGCCCACGCGCCGACACCAAGCTCAAAAACTGGTTCCGCGACCGTCTCGTTCGCCGCTCCAGTGGCCCAGTCCCCATCTACCCCCACCAGCCAGGCCCGGACTCCAATACAGACAACGAACCCGCTTTCCAGGGCGGCGCCAGTCTAACCGGCCGCGACGAGTCCCGCGGCGTAGCACTTGGTTCACACCCTCTTGGCGTGGGTGAACCTATCCCGACCCACAACAGATCTTCGAGCTACTACAGCAACGACTTTGATGTGGCCAAGATTAACAGTGCGGAGTCTTTGCCAAAATCTACTAAGCAAAATGGGAATGGTAAGAAGAGAAACCGTCTGAGCAAAACGTTCCTCAGGGCCGTCTCCCGTAGCCCTGATGGGTCGAACGATGGTGACTCCCGTCGTGACTCAGGAATTCAATCTTCTTCTAAGGATGTCCGCAGCGGTAAAATCCAGAGTCTGCAGGATAGTACTATCGGACAGAGTCTTCCTGTGCCACCCACTATTGGTGAGACGCTGAACGGGCGAAGAGAATCGCGATTCTCCGAGAATCTGTGATTATTATGTTGAATTCTGATATGTATGTTTATTTGAAACGTGGACTTGATGTACGATTTTGTTATTTTTGGATATTACAGGTGATTTACTGGCGCTTTTCGGAACTTTGAAATCGGTGGTATGGGGGATATTGGGGTTGGGGTTTTTCACTTGACTACTATTTTTCGGTGCTTCGTATATACACGATCTAATCAACCATGTCTTTATGAAACCCTAGCAACATCATTAAACATGTCTTTCAAGATGAGCAATAACACGTCTAAGTGTATCAGCCACAGCCTTGTCTCCCAATACCTCATCCCCATCCAAATCAATAACCTCCTTCGCCTCAAACCCATGTCCCTGTCCCTCCGCACGCTCCAGCGAGACGTCCACCCCAACCCTCTCTAAAGCCCCAGCCACAGCAACACTCTGCTCAAATCCAACCAACTCATCCGCATCCCCATGCAAAAGAACAGTAGGCGGAAACCCCTCCTTCAGCCCAAAGCTAACCGGGAAGAGCACCCGATCCTCCACCGAAACAGCCCCAACCCCCTCATCAGCAATCCTCCCCGCCAACCCCGGCTTTCTCGCAAGCACATCCGCATACCGGGCTGCCTGATGCAAAGCCCTAATCCACCCAAAGCGAAGATCAGCAGGTGGGCTCACGGGGAACGGATACCCATCAATAGCATCATTCCGCATCGCAACCTCAATCTCCTCCAAAGCTTTCGCTTCATCAGCGACAGGACCACCCAGCGGCTGACCCGGGCGGATATAGCGCTCACTTGCTGGATCTAACATGCCGTAAATAGAAAGCACGGCGAGCGGTCTCGGGGTAGCCGGATGCGCGGCAGCAGCGAGAGCGAGATACCCGCCCGCGCTGGACCCGGCGATTATCACCCGCTTGCTGATGTTCGCATAGACCCAGTTCACGGCGTCTGTTGCGTCTTGTAGGATCTCGATGCCTGGGGATTCTGGCAGGAGGCGGTAGGAGGCTGTTGCGTATGTCCAGCCTCGCTTTTGGCAGGCGTTTATTAGCCAGTGCGGTGGGAAGGTGGTTTTTTCACCCAGTACCTGTGATATGGGAGTCAGTTGGGGTCTTTTTTTTTGTTTGAGTGGTGTTTCGGGCTTACTAGGAAGCCTCCGTGGAAGTGGAGGAGGACGGGGCTGTTTTCTTCTTTGGTTGGAGGGGAGAGGACGTCGATCTCTAGTGAGAGACCGTCTACGACTTTGAAGACATGTGTAACTGACATTATTGTGTGTGGTAGTTTATGTTTTATTAGAATCGAGGATGACCTTATTTAACTGTTCATAAGCAGGACAGTACCCCGCGGGATTTCCCCACGCTAGTATTGTAGACCGTATTTCGGTAGTTGGACTGTTGGGGGGAAAAGACAGAAGTTTTCATATGTCCAATAAGTTAAGCCTAATTGGCTCATTATAGTGGTATATTATCTTGTGCAGATTGTGTATATCTTTGATATCTCTATAATGACGTACAATAATACATCATGCGCTGTGGGATATTCCGCGGCTTCAAGGTGTGGGGAACCTCGACCTGGATGGTAGTTACGGCAGTTACATTTTTGCTTGATATATATTCCACTTATAGGTCAGAGATGGGCTCTTAGATTGTTCTATTCTTTGCCATCAATACTTCTCTTTAAGATGTTCGAATTGTCACCTGTAGCCTTCTCGGTGCTGGGACCGGTCCAAACGATCAGCCTCGCAATCGGTCTCGTGTTCTTGGGATATATATCGTACATGTCATATTTTCACACCCTTTCGCAATACCCCGGTCCGAAGATAGCCTCTTTGACGAGCCTTTGGAGGGCATATTACGTTTACAAATTAGTCCTCCATGAGAAGCTAGTCAAGTTACACCAGCAGTATGGCCCCGTCGTCCGAATCGGTCCTAACCATCTCCATTTCTGGGATGGTGAAGCCATTGCCCCAATCTACAAGGGGGGTAGGAAGATGGGAAAGACACAGTTCTATGATGCCTTTACTGCATTTAACCCCAATCTCTTTGGGGGCAGGGATGAAGATGTAAAAAGTTGACCTTTCTACTTATGAGATAATCTGCTAAACAAGAACAGATACATTCCCTTCGTCGACGACAGCTAGCCCACGGATTCTCACAGACATCAGTCGAAAACTTCGAACCTCTCATTAATGGTCACATAGAGATCTTGCTCAACAAACTCAACGAGTTTGCAAAGACCGGAGAGGTCTTCGATCTGAAGTCTACAATCTCGTACTTCGTTCTCGATATCCTAGGCGAAGTCGCCTTTAGCCGACCTTTCAATGCCCAAGCCAGAGGAGAAGCAGATGAGATACACGCAATAAACGACCACCTTCTTTTATCATGCGTAATTGGTGAACTTCCCTTCCAGGCACTGTCGAAGTTCCTAGCGAGATGGTCGCCCGTTCCATGGATGCGAAAGCTAGGGAAGAGCAGAAATAACCTCAAAGAAACGTGCTCCGAGTGTGTTAGAAACAAGATCAACAATGTATCCGACCGTCGAGATCTACTCAAGAGCCTCGTGACTACGAAAGATGTTGAAACCGGCGCCAGTCTCACCGAGCAGGAAATTAATTCAGAGGCGTTTGCTATGCTGTGAGTATATCCCTAGCACTTGGAAATCTTTGAATGTGTACTTACTTGTACCAGGGTAGCAGGCTCTCATTCGACCTCTGGTACATTGACACTCCTCTTTTGGCACCTCATCCATAACCCAGAGATATGTGCTACCGTTGCCGCAGAGGTAGCTAGTACTCTTCAACCACTACAGGATGGAGACATCTCCTATCCTATCAAGGGACTGGAGGCTTCTTTGCCATATACCATGGCATGCGTAAGGGAGAACTTCCGCCTGAATCCGGTATTTACCATGCCCCTATGGCGAAGTGTTGGGTCACCCAGCGGAGCGAGAATTGGAGACTTTGACGTACCGTGTGGTGTAAGTTTTGGCAATCCTTCTCGCTGTCTATGTTATTGTTCAGTCCACAATACTGATCCTTGAATCTGAGAAATAGACTAATGTCTGCATCTCAAACTACGTTCTCCATCATAATCCGGAGATCTGGGGCGAGGATCATGCGGTATTTCGACCGGATAGATGGCTGGAAAAGGACGAGCCCAACCGCAGCCGGTGCCTTATTCCATTCAGTATTGGACACCGCATGTGTATTGGTCGAAATCTCGCCATGACAAATATATTGAAGACAGTTACTACCTTGATCAGCCAGTTCGAATTTCATCCGATCTCTCAGGATGACCACGTCCGGGTCCGCAGCTCGGGGATTGGGGAGATGGAGGGATCGTTTCAATGTAAAGTCTCGGTGAAATGCTGAGGTATGGCTCATGGATGGGATTGGAAATTGTATGTATAGACACTAGCTGAGGAATCAGAATGAAAATACAAGATGAAGACTATGTGAAGGAACCAAAGACAACTGGGGCTATACTACCCACTTGGCATGAGGCTGCAGTATGTTACTGTAATAATACAAATTTATGTATGTATATCGCACATTTATGCACAACTCATGGCTTCTATACATCTGTGTATGTTTTTGATGGTAATAATACCTGAACATGTGACATGCCCATCATTACCCCAAGCCATTTCTCTTTCTCCGCTTGCACCACCCCAAAGCATGGGAGATATATTTACATGTATTCACTTCGAACGCAAGAAGTCATTGAAATTCCCTGAAAATGGAAACTCAGACTTCTTCAAATGATCAAGTGAACTCAGTGCCATTTCAGTGTTCTGTTTGCTCCCAAACCTTTGGAAAGATCCAGCACCTTAAGAGACACAAATCAACCCGTACGATCTAACCCTCCTTTGATATCGTTTTTCTTGCTAACTAAGTTCTTATTCGGTAGATATTGACAGGAAACCACACCTCTGCGAGTTCTGTGGTTCTGAATTCACACGCAGGTAAAGTCAGGCCAACTTTCAGTTGACAGCTCGGCCATTTGACGAATTAAATATTGACAGTGATGCCCTTCGCCGTCACTGGAAAACTTGCACATCTCTTTTAGCATCTGGCAATCAAGTTCCCCAGCGTAGTAGATCTGGAAAGAGAAAACATGCGTGTGATCGTTGCACGGAGCGCAAACGCGCCTGTAACCAAGGCAACCCTTGTGCTGAGTGTACTCTTCAAGACTCTGAATGCACGTACGTGCAGAAGAAACAAAGGCATTTACAAATACCTGTCAGTGCGGTAGATTCTCATCGCGACAATAGCGGGAACAATATCCCTGGCGCTTCCGAAGCCCAGCAAAAGTCAAGTATCCAAGGCCAACAGTTGAGAAATACAATTGGCATCGCTGATCGGTGCCGGTTTGACTTTCTCTTGAAGTTCACTCGTGCAGCTGGAGTCAATGAAGCCTATAATTGCAATCGCTTGTTCATGGCAGACAACCACAGTGCCTCTGAAGACGGCACCTCTCAGAATGATATAGATTCATATCTTCTGGGTGAGGACTATTTATGGTCAGATGGGGACAGAGCATCAGTTACTAGACTGAATAGTCCCACAAGAGGGGACCTTGTGAATGATGCCCTAAGGCTTCAGTCCAGTCACATTTGGGACATGCTTCTCCCTTTTTGTGATGAAAAACAAGAAGGGAGCATAACTATGGCTGATATCATATCGTTCTTCTCGCCAGAAAATATCCTCCATTTCATTGATATATTTTGGGATCGCTGGCATCCCCACTGTCTAATCTTCCACAAACCAACATTCAGAATCGAGTCCTGCGCACCTCTTCTTCTTATAAACATGGTACTCATGGGAGGCTGCATATCCCCATATAAGGCCGATCGTCACATTGCAAGGTCACTCCTGGATATTGCAGAAGGGATTGTGTTTTCACAGTCTATGTTCTCGACAGCAGCAACGAGGACCGAAGGCACGGATCAAAGCCATAGAACTCAAATCAGCACTTTGCAAGCAACATATTTGATTTGTATCATGCAAAAGTGGGAAGGGAGCAATGAAACAAAAATCCGCATCCAGCGTGATCAATTCACAAAATTCGTGTCCGTACGTACAGTATATTAAATTACCTACTATTCCTCAACATTAGTGTCTAATTATTTACAGGCAACGCGCGCAATGGGATTGTCAAGGGGTAGGCATACTCATCGACCCATTACCTTAGAATTTGGCGATTCCGAATGGCAAGAATGGATTGAAAGAGAAGAAGTCAATAGGTGTGTTCAATGAAATTAAGCCTTCCAATCGTGTACTAATACAATCACAGAATTTGCAATTATGTATTTCTTCTTGACTCCGCCTTCGTGATTTTCCACAATTCATTCCCACGAATGGTTCTACAGGAGATGCAGATCGATTTGACATCTCCAGAATCATGGTTCCAAGCATCTTCTCCCATGGACTTCCTATCTGCTGTCCAGTCAAATCCAGGACTACCGGAGAAACATCTATCTCTTGTAGATTCCGTTCGCAGGTTATGCAATGATACCACGGACCAAAGCACAAACTTTTTGGACGGTGCTAGCAAGCTGAATCTATTCACGATCGCTACAGGTGAGCCTCTCCTCAATACTATTGCCAGGCAGTACAATTAACTCTCGGGATACAGCAATCCATGGTCTTATATTTCATCAAAGGTCCTCGCTGTATACCCTTCCACTTTCTGATAACCCGCTGGGGAAGGCACTTGACCGGTGGGAGGTCGCTTGGAAATCAAATCAGCAGCAGGAACTGAACATGCGAGCATCAAGGGATACAACTCATTCACCCGATGAGCCAGATGGATTTATGCATTACGCTGATGAATTCGCTGTCTTGGCACGTATCTCCCTTGGATTATCATATTTCTCACCCACAGAATGGTCGGAACTTATTGAGGGATTATCTGACGGCTCCTCTCGCGGTGCATTTGCTACTTTTGATCAAGCCGGCATGGGCCCTGTTGGGGATTTGATGCTAGCAGTGGAAAACTTGAGCTTGAATAAGTAAATAACCATCAGCACAAGGTCCGGAGGCCATAACTGGGTATTTTTGAATATATTCATGTCTCCTTGAGGTCTAGAAAGGGGAAGGTCGAGGATCTTTAGGGAACTATTTAAAATTTCAATGGCCAATATTACCATAATTTTTGGGAACTACCTATGTAGATAAACTACAGGCAAGGTAAGAGCTTAACCAATGTGGCGTCAGGTATCGCCAGTGCGGTCTGCCATCTTTTTCAACGGCGTGTCAAGTCTCGGTTCACCATTTGAACCGTTCCAGCCTCCCCCATACTCGAAAAGCTCCCCGAACACTTCGTTCGCCGCGTGAGTATCAACTGCGAAATGCAAAGGCGTGTTACCCCTCTCGGTTTTGTCATTCACATACGCACCGGATTCCAACAATAGCTCAATCACTCGAATATTGGCGGCTGAACCTTCTTTTGAGACCGCTAGATGGAGCGGTGTATTTCTGTCAAAATCAGCTGCGCTAACATTAGCTTCATAGGCGAGATAATCTGAGTAACGATTGTGGGGACAGGGTAATGATATTTGGTAGAGAGAGATTGGGGTGGGTTTCGAGCACTGAGATAACATCGTCAACTTTCAACTCAGCCAGGATAGTAATCAATAGTTCATTCGAATGTGAAAGAAAAAACATTTTGCTTCTGAAGAGGTGGTAAAAGAGGGAAAAAGTGACTAACAGCGCACTGTAAAAGCACACGTCCCAGCCGTATTGGTACCAATTCTGCAGATGTCGGGAGCATAGTCTCACGTATTTATAATTGCTATAGAAGAATGTATTAGAAGTGATATAGCATTCTGTCACTAGATCATAGCAAAGACGAAGGTTTCTTTTATCGCCTAGGGAGACATGCCATAGCTATTTAAGTAGTAGAGCATTGTTGAGATATATGATAAAGTAGATAGAGAGAGAGATCATGAAAAGCCACCATGTAAAGAGATGGTGATGAAGATGTTGTTCAAATATGTACAGGAAAGGGATACTAGCTAGTAATATAGCTAGTACTATAGGATGAAGGATCATATGATATATGAGAGCATCAAACAAATATCAGGTAAATATACATAGAAGAGGTGTAGATGAAGAAGGTACAGGGGAAGGAAAACCATTGATTTATATGAGCTACTAAGGGAGAAAAGAATATCGATGTAGATGATAGAGGAGCCAATAAAAGAAAAGGAAATGGCATGAAGACCGGATACAGTTCATAAAGAATAGCAAACGTTTGAAATTGTAAACACTCTATACATGGGTGACATGGGTGATGATGTTCATTAAAAGGATTCTACTGAGATGCCTTTAGTACGGCAGGTTTTAGACGCCATCGCGCTAACATATATATAATTTGACTGAAATCTCGTGTACAGCAATATATGGTATAGATAGTTGGCTGTGTTTGCGGCCTTATGATGGTCTTTTTAGATGGTCTTTTAGAATAATCAATCATAAACTACAAAGGTACAATAGTTTAAAAGGCTTCTTGCAAACGCCATTTTGATAGATACTAAAGTAACTAGACGTGCGTATTCATTTTACTCATGATCTATAATAGTTGAGTGTGTTCCCAGGCTGTATGTAATGGGTCTAGATCTAAGCTAGAAGATTGTGTCAAAGTCTCGTCACCTACGGCTCGCCGTATCTGGTAACGGACGACCAAAGGCGAAGTTGTAGTAGGCGAGAGCATACCGCACGTTTGTCATAGTAATTCTTGTTAATAGGATTACGAAGTTCAAGTTATGTTAAGACTGGTCATAAAAAATATTCAAATACTTGAGGTGGAGGAAATGAAAGAGAAGAATAGAGAGGATTGAGCATGGAAGACGGAAACCCAACCTTGGAAGGCATCCATGGATGGCAGCCATGGATATGACCTCGGGAAAGACCCTTCATTTTCATTTCCTTCACCTCAAGTATTTGTTTTCCCTTTCTCTTCACTCACTCTCTTCACTCTCTTCACTTCCTTTTCACTTCCTTCTCTACATCTGCTCATTTGATCTTTTTTTGACTCGGCTCTTTCCTTGGTCCATCTCTTTTCCTTTCTATCAGTTGACACTACTTTCGAAATGGCGAATGTATCTCTCCTTTCGTTGCCGAATGAGCTACTATGCCAAATTTCATCGGGAATATGCGTACGAGACGTCATCTATCTCCTACAATGTCACCACGACCTCTTTCAACCACTTTCATGGCACCTTCATCATGAAAGAGAGACTCACGAGCTTCGAGAAGGTCTAACGGAGTGTGTCAAATCTGGCGATATCTGCGGAGCCCGATTCCTACTTTCGATGAATGCAGACATCGAATACATCGAGTACGACCCCGGAAATAAACAAGAGCGATCACAGTACTGGAGGAGCTCGAACTTGAACTGGGCTGTTCAGAATGGCGACGAGGAGATAGTGGACGCCCTTCTCGCACACCTTGATCAAATGAAGGTCGAGATCCCAGGTCTCACTGTTGAATCTGTTGACCCGGCACTATATTCTGCTGCTCACAGTGGCTATTTTACCATTGTAAAGACGCTGATCGGCCTTACTCCTGACGCCGTACGACCAGATGATTATTACGACAGGGTGTTATCTTACGCGTTAGGAGAGGAGGATTATTGGTACAACGAGAGATATTGCTTTTGCACAAAGCAAGATGTTGACTCCGGATCCCGGAAGAAGCCACTAAAAGACCATTATGCCATTGTGAAACTACTACTGGATCACGGTGCCCACTGCAATTATACCGGGTCTTATTTCTTATCGTGTATGCCGGTATTACTTACACTGTTTAAGTGTAGCTCGATCTCCAACGGCGTTTTGAAGCTGCTTGTCGAACGCGGCGCGGATGTGAGCATTAAAGAAGTACTTCGCGGGTTCATAGAAACCACGAACCGATGTGTGTTCTCCAATGAAGAAACAGCAAAGTTTCTTCTTGACCACGGTGCAGGTTCCAGTGCACTAGATTACATCAGTACGGCTGTTCTCAATGACAACAACAAAATGGGCTTGATAGAACTGCTGGTTGCTTTCAGACTTCCCCTAAACAGAATCAATGGCTGGAGTGAGATAACAAAGACGTTCAAAGGCAGGGCTAAATTGATGAAGCAACTGTTGGATCTTGATGCTAGTACAAAATACCGAACTGCGTTTCAATCGGTCAACTCAGATACATCAGTCCCATGGGGATGCGACTTCCATAAAGATAATTCAAAAGGACTCGATCAGTTTAGAGGCCCAATATCTGAACCCGAACCCGAGAAGCCCGATTATGAAACCTGTGTTTCATTCATTTACGACTCTATGAGGCTTCTGTTGAGCTACGGAGCAGTTGGTGACATTATAGATAGCGAAGAACAGACCCCCCTCTACAAGACCGACAACAAGCATCTTGTGAAGCTTATCCTAGCCCATGGAGCTGATGTGAATGAGGTGGATCTATATGGTCAAACACCGCTGCATGCCATGACATACTGAGCATCAAAATCGATGGTCGGAACAATCAAGTTACTATTGAAACATGGAGCAGATATCACTGCGAAGAACGCCGATAACAACACATCTCTCCACCTAGCGGTACTGACATCGGCATGGGAAGTGGTCCAGTTGCTTCTTGATCATGGGGCAGATCGAAATATCCGTAATTCCGACGGAGAGACTCCTATGGATCTTTTGGCGCGTCGCAAGCGCCATAAAAAGGAATTCTCGCTTAACAGAAACAAAAAAGGTGACCTGATGTCTTTCAGATATCAAAAGTTTGTGGATGTCTATTGGCGTGGGTGGGAGACATTCAGGAGTCGTGTGCATCATTATTATCATTAGGCCAAGTAGTGCATAAAGTCTATTCAGTTATTGGTCACTTTCTTCCATTCTACCACTGTCACTTTCCTACTCTGTATCAAATGTAAATATGAAAAAGCACCGCTCCCCTGTCAAAAGTTCGCCATTCCCCCGCATCTTCACGACCCTTGAGACACTATGGAAAATTGCCTAATCTGACATTTGATCTACAAAACATCCACCAATCCCAGCACAGTACGGGGTATTTCTATAGCGAGGACCGAACAACACCCCCATTATAACAAGTCATATTCCAAAATGGAGGGTATCTGTACAGCACTCCACAATGCGTCTCCTCGCGCTTCTCCCCGTCCTCCTTGGGCTTATATCCAACCATTTTGTCTCCGCGACAGATAATGGCAAGACCACCGATGTGACATGGGATAAATACAGCCTCTCAGTCAAAGGAGAGAGGGTATATGTATTTTCCGGTGAATTCCATTACCAGCGACTCCCCGTGCCGGAGCTATGGCTAGACGTGTTTCAGAAGCTACGCGCAAATGGCTTCAATGCGATTTCTAGTGAGTAGCTTGACACTCACTCTTATCCTGCAATAGTACTCATTTCAATTAGTCTACTTCTTCTGGAGTTACCACTCCTCTTCCGAAGATACTTTCGACTTCGAGAACGGCGCGCATGACGTCCAGCGCGTTTTCGATTATGCCAAGCAAGCAGGGCTGTATGTGATCGCGCGCGCAGGACCTTACTGCAATGCCGAGACCTCTGCTGGTGGTTTCGCACTGTGGGCATCCAATGGTCAAATGGGCAAGACGCGCACGAGCGCAAGCTCCTACTATGACCGATGGTATCCATGGATCCAGAAGATCGGAAAGATCATCGCCGCAAACCAAATCACAAATGGTGGCCCGGTCATTCTCAATCAGCACGAAAATGAGTTACAGGAGACAACTCACAGTGCCGATAACACTGTTGTCAAGTACATGGAACAAGTCAAAGCCGCCTTCAGTGAAGCTGGCATCGTTGTCCCGAGCACGCATAATGAGAAGGGAATGCGGTCTATGAGCTGGTCGACGGATTACCAGGATGTGGGTGGTGCTGTCAACATTTATGGTCTGGATTCCTATCCTGGTGGTCTGTCCTGCACCAACCCGAACACTGGGTTCAATCTCGTCCGCACCTATTACCAGTGGTTCCAGAATTACTCGAGTTCTCAGCCTGAGTACCTACCAGAGTTTGAGGGTGGCTGGTTCTCTGCCTGGGGAGGGACTTTCTACGATCAATGTTCTACGGAGCTGTCGCCTGAATTCCCAGACGTCTACTATAAGAATAACATCGGCTCCAGGGTCACATTGCAGAATCTCTATATGGTGATGGGGGCAACTTCTTGGGGACACAGTGCTGCTCCGGTTGTGTACACTTCATATGACTACTCTGCGCCCATGCGAGAGACCCGTGAGATTCGGGATAAGCTCAAGCAGACCAAGTTGATTGGTCTGTTTACTCGTGTGTCGTCTGGTCTTCTACAAACACAAATGGAAGGGAATGGAACCGGGTATACTAGTGATGCTAGTATCTATACCTGGGCCTTGCGAAACCCCGAAACCAACGCCGGTTTTTATGTTCTCGCACATTCTACTAGCTCGTCTCGTGCTGTGACTACTACTTCGCTTAACGTGAATACCTCGGCTGGTATGTACTCTAGTGCTTAAGATGAAGAATTGAGCTAACTTTGAGTCCTGCACAACAGGAGCTCTCACAATCCCTAATATTGAGTTGGCTGGCCGCCAAAGCAAAATTATAGTGACTGACTACCAGATCGGCAATGGCTCCAGCTTGCTTTATTCATCTGCCGAGGTTTTGACCTACGCTACCCTCGATGTCGATGTCATTGTCTTCTATCTAAATATTGGACAGGAAGGAGAGTTTGTCTTCAAAGACGCACCGGCCCATCTGACTTTCCAAACGTACGGCAATTCGCAAGTGAGCTCCGCCGCATCAGATTATGGCACCAAATACACATACACCCAAGGGGATGGTACGACAGTGTTGAAATTCTCGCACGGCGTGTTAGTCTATCTTCTCGATAAAGAGACAGCGTGGAACTTCTTTGCAGTACCGACTACTTCCAATCCGCTTGTGACTCCGAGTGAGCAAATTATTGCCCTTGGACCATATCTCGTTCGCACAGCAAGTGTCAGCGGGAACACTGTCAGTCTTGTCGGTGATAACGCAAACACAACATCTCTTGAGTAAGTGTAGTATTAACTCTTAACGAAGTTTTTGGCTAATATTGCTGCTAGGGTCTACATGGGTAACTCAAAGGTTACCAAAATCAAGTGGAATGGTAAAGAGATCTCAGCCAAGAAGACAGCCTATGGCAGCTTGATCGGATCAGCCTCGGGAGCACAAAATGCTAAGGTTTCACTACCTACCCTGAAATCATGGAAAGCGCAAGACACCCTTCCAGAGATCAAACCAGGTTATGATGATTCTCGCTGGACCATCTGCAACAAAACGACATCAGTCAACTCCGTAGCACCGCTAACACTTCCCGTGCTTTACTCTGGGGACTACGGCTACCATGCCGGAACGAAGATCTACAGGGGACGGTTCGACGGCGTGACCGCGACAGGCGCAAATCTCACCGTCCAAAACGGCGTAGCGGCTGGTTGGGCCGCCTGGCTCAACGGAGTCTACGTTGGGGGAGCCGTTGGCGATCCCGCACTAGCCGCGACATCAGCGGAGCTACTATTCAACAGCTCCACTCTGCGCAAGACAGACAATGTCCTGACCGTTGTCATGGATTATACCGGCCACGACGAGGCAAATGTGTCACCGAATGGCGCCCAAAACCCGCGTGGTATACTGGGGGCTACACTTCTTGGCGGTAACTTCACATCCTGGCGCATTCAAGGCAATGCAGGAGGCGAAGCCAACATCGATCCCGTCCGGGGACCCATGAACGAAGGAGGTCTCTACGGAGAACGTCTTGGCTGGCATCTCCCCGGATACAAAGCGTCCAAGACAGCGACATCAGACAGTCCTCTGGACGGTGTATCTGGCGCCGCTGGCCGATTCTACACGACAACCTTCAAGCTTGATTTGGACTCCGACCTGGACGTTCCGATTGGTCTGCAGCTCGGTGCATCTGATTTCCCCGCAGTTGTTCAGATCTTCATGAATGGGTACCAGTTTGGTCATTACCTACCGCACATCGGTCCCCAAACTAGGTTCCCTTTCCCGCCCGGGGTGATCAACAACCGTGGGGAGAATACGTTGGCGATTAGTCTGTGGGCGTTGACGGGGCAGGGGGCGAGACTGAGTCAGGTGGATCTGGTTGCATATGGGGCTTATCGCACTGGATTCAATTTCAATCACGATTGGTCCTACCTGCAGCCACAGTGGAAGAATAACCGGGGGCAATATGTATAGTTGTTTAGTTTTAATTGATAAAGGTGTCCGTCCGGAGTGGTGTGTGACACATTGAACTGATATTGGGTTGAAATGTTTTCCCGCGGTCTAGATCTTCCCGTAGTTCTTTGTTTAGTTCCGGTACCTGTTTCATCATCGCTTTATATGGAGCTCGACTTCCTTGTTTTTTTTCGTTAGTTACATCAGACTTGATTAATGTAAGTGCAGGGATGTCAAAACCAGATAGTAAGCCAGACCCCCGTCAATTTCTTTAGATTCTTTAGAAATGTATACAAAAGGACCTTAGAGCAGACAACTAGAATCACCCCATCTCTGCTATATATAGTCAACTCTTTCAACACAAGACACACCAAGTCACCGATAATTGGCCATAACCAATGACAATTAAATAAAATGCAACTCCAAACAAAAAAGTTCATTGTCCAGGCGACTATCGGTCAAAACGCGATGTCTGCCCAACGTCCGCGTCCACCGCCATTTGTACTTCTCCACACGTTTAAACACGTTCCTCCTTCTCACTTCTAAACATTCTATTCAATCCTGTTTATATTCTTATATGTCCCTAATCTTTAATCATGTCGCGCCATAACAGTGTGGACCTAGACTCTCCCGATCGGCCTTTCGACAACATCATCAATTTCCGCGATGTCGGCCGGTCGGTTAATCAATTTTGTCGCAAAGAGTGAGTAAAGACGCGTCTTTGACGAGATAATATTCAAGTCTGTATTTAAATGTCAAAAACTAACAATTTCAAATAGGATCTTAAAAGAAGGCGTGTTCTTTCGCAGTGCAAGGGTAATTCTAACCCCGCTCAAATGACTCCGATGAATTGATGCGTTGTCATAATAAGCAACGAAAAAAGACGCAAAAAAAGCTGATTTGAAATCTGCCATAGCTCGACGATGCTTCAGAACGAGATAAACGCCGTTTAGCGGAAGAATTACACATTCACACTGTCATTGATCTCCGTTCCCAGTATGTCGAAGCAAAAAAGACCAAAAAATCGCACCCAGAAACTAATCCCAGCATAGAACAGAACACCAAATGGGCACGCGCAAACGCCGAAGCGAAAATGCCAAATCAGATCCATCAACAAATTCACCCTCGCCATCCCCATCACCATTACCCACAGACCCAATCCCAACAAACCCAGACGAACACCTCCTCCAAATCCCCGGCTCAAAACGAGCTCTAATAAGCCTAACCGGCAAAGGCTTCGAACGCGCCTTAATATCAAAATTAGACTGGTTGACATATCTGTATTACCCCCATCCCTGCAAACAACCAAACGAGTAGCTAACATCCAACAGCAAAACAATCGGCCTCGTAACAACCGGCTACCGCAGCGACGCCGTGCGTCTAGTCTGCGGGTCAGTAATGCAACCGCGCGGCCTAACAGGTCTAGCGCAAGACACGCTAGATTCCAGCATGGGCGAGATCCGCTCCGTATTCGAGATCCTGGCGTGCGAGGAATCATACCCGACATTAGTGCACTGCACGCAGGGGAAGGACCGGACGGGTCTGGTTGTGTTGCTTATGTTACTGCTTGTTGGGGGTGTGGTGCCGGTTGAGGCGATTGTTGATGATTACAGTCGGTCTGAGCTGGAGCTTGTGTCGGAGTTTGACGAGAGGATGGAGGAGATTAGGGCTATTGGGCTTGGGGAGGATTATACGCGTTGTCCGCCTGGTTTTGTTCGTGATACGACCGAGTACCTTGAGAATAGGTACGGGGGTGTTAGGGGGTATTTGGAGAAGGTTGGGGTTGGGTATGAGATGCAGGAGAGGGTCAGAGTGAAGTTTATGGCTTGAGGGTTCTTTTTTTGGGGGGGCTTTGGTTTTGTCTTTCTTGGGACTGGGATTTGGATATATGGGGTTGGATGGCTTTCTGTATTTGATATGGGATTTATGTAGATATGATAATGACCTTGGCATTGGGATGGGTCTAGCGTTCCTTATTGCATGGATTTGGATGTGACATACTAAATGGTGGAGGATTTTTGTCTTTCGGGTCTAGTAAATAGGTTGAAAAAAGGAATGCTAGGAAAGATCCAATGGAAATGTTATTGAGTTGCTATACAAGGACTAAATATGTATTCTAAGACTAAAAGGCCAACGTGTTCTAACAGTGTATGCCCAACTTCCCGAAAACACCATATAGAAGAGTATCGTATCTATGACAGGTATCAAAAAAAAAAACATTAACAAAAGCAGAGTATCGGGTGACATCGTGAACGTCATACAAGTAAATACAGGAACATAAAAATGACATGAATTAGTTAGACCCGCTGGCCTCGGTAGAAGCCGGTGCTCGGGCCCATCGAGTCATGGGTCAGCGGCTCTTCGATGGAGACGCCTTCTTCACGGGTTCCACTGAATCCACCCTGGTTCATCAGGTACTTCTCACCCTGGGGCACGTGGTTTTTGGTGCGCACAGAAGGCAATAGATCGACGACGAAGGAAAGAACGTATCCAGTGAAGACGAAAGCAATAGTCCACTCGATAACCGCGCCAGGGTTTTGCTTAGACGAGTTCTTGCTACCGATGCAGACACCGAAGCCAATGGCGAGTGCGAGCTCGACAATGACGAAGACAAGCTTGATAAAGAAACTGACGAGCAAGACACGGTGCTCGCGACGGTAGAAGATTCCGATACGGAGGTACTCTATGCAAACAAAAATGGCACTGATCACGTATCCAGCACTAGGAAGAGATTGATTGGTTAGTTGGCTGTGGGCTGCTGGCTGCATAGTTCCAAGAGTGGGCAGGACTCACATGAACAGGCCGATGAAACCGTCGTGTAACTTCGGGTGGCGGAGGGTATCAAATACAGAGAGCAGAATCAGACCTGCAGCACCGGCAATCGCGAAAAAGATTGAAATAATAGCGCATGCCTTGTCCAATCTACCCTTGTTCGAGGCCAACTGGTTGGAGTGTCGAAGCCACCGCTCGGAGAGGAATGCTAAATCGAGAAAGACGACGGTGACCGCGCTGCCTGCGACGAACAGCGGCTTCAAGCCTTGTGCTCCGACATCTGAGATGTACCTATAACGATCCTGTTAGCGCATGGATGGGACTCAGGGTGGAGAGAAAGACATACGCAATAGTCTGTCCTTCATCCATACTGGCATAGTGCGGTCTCCCGTCTTTGACCCAGGTGACCAGCATGGCGATCAACATTGCTAAAACCATGTTAGCTGCGGCCAAGAACAAGACATTCAGTCTAGTGCAGGGATGCCTTACAAACCCACATGCAGGCTGACACCAACGGAAACATCCAAAACGAGATAATCCACATCTTTGCGACTTTTTGTGTTGTATTTCGAGACCGATTTCAATGCAATGGAGGTATATGAGGTCTTTGTATATTCGCTAAAAATCCAATTCAAAAGAAGGTGGAAGATTGAAAGCAAAGCAATGCGCACGTGAGCCTATTTGATCCTGTCAGTCGCAGCTTCTTCAATGTCGGTGATTCCATGTAGCATAGAAAGAAGGTGTAGATTCGAAGGTATTTTGGGCAATCGTGTAACTCACCTATATCCCTGTATTTATTTACAATGTCTCACAGGAATACAGCATTCCAGGTTCAAATGATAAGTGTTAAAGGGGGCGACAGTGGCGTTTAGATGACAAAGGGATGTCAAATTAGAACCGGGACGATGATGATGCGCAAGGGGATATTTTTTGGGGGGGTATACCCAGTGGGTTATTAGATACCTTGAAAGGAGAAGCAGATGAGAGAAGAGAGAAGGATTTCCAGCAATATTAGACCTAAGGCCCTGGAGATTATAAAAACGACGTCATCTCCGCAGGACTGCCAAGGCAGAAAAATTGTGCGTCCCCACAGCCTAGTCCAAGTGATCAGCCTCAATATTTACTTTAATAGTAGATTGTACTCTGTATATTAGCCTGGGTACTCCGTACATACCTCTACTATTAATATTGATGTGTAATCCATGGATAACGTGAATGCCTGTTCCAATGTTTTCCATGGGATCTACGGATACGCCGGGTGGCTGAATACTTAGGTTTGGGGGCTGACAGAATACGCATGTGGTAATACATCAGATGTTAGACGCTTTCAGTCATGTTGCATCCGTCCACTTATATTAGACTATTAAACTTCATATTCAAAACCCTAAGATTTACGTATATCAAATGAACCAAAAGTGGAAAGAATATGTTTGCTAGTTAACCTGTAGTCCAAGATCGGTCTACCTAAAAACGCCGCGGTACGGAAAGACCGCAATGGTGGAATCGAAAATAGTCAAACGAGCAAGAAAAAAAAAAGACCCAAGACCGAAACAAATTTTAGGTAGGGCAACGTTGAAAGACACGTCATCTTCATCGACTGGTCCGTTTACGTGTGGTTCCAGTAACGGGCCGCCTCTGCGCAGCAGCAACTGGCGGGGCCTTGCGCTCAGCCACCTTGGCCACCTTGACAATCTGCACTTCATCCTCTTCGCTGCTCTCCGACTCTTCACTGGATTCCTCCGCCCCCAACTTAGATGGAGCTAGAGCTGGAGCTGGAGCTAGGCTGCCCCGGGTCTGCGGGGTCGCTTGCGGTGGGCGTTTGCCCGGAGATTGGGATTGATAAGCTGGGTATGGAGTGGTTGAAGGGTAACTCATTCGATTTGGCTGTCCGGCCCGAACATCGGTGGGAACCGGTTGGTGTGGCACAGGCTCCCCGTATGGACTCATCTGCATGGTGTTGTAGTAGGGTGGGGCCCATTGAGGATCGTCTGGCAGTGGCCGTTGGAACACAGGCGCTTGTTGCATGGACTGTGGTCGGCCATTGGGGGCAAATCGCTCGGGGGTATATGGTGGGTAGGGAGGTCGAAGAGGTGAATTGGACTGCTGGGGACGAAGAGATTGGGTCGTTGGAGTCCGGGGACGGGCAGCAGAAGATGAGCTGGTCGGCCGGCCATTGGCAGCCGTCCCACGAGCCCAGATGCTATGTGCATCAGGCGCAAAGGTCGGATACGGGCCGGACTGCTGCTCGGGTGCAACAACAGCGCTCCGTCGGGACGATGGGCGCGACGTCGTCTTGACAGAGTTGACCGAAGGGCGCCGGCTTCCGCTCGAACCGTCCGACTGCTGGCGCTTGCGCTCCAAGGCATCCAGTTCGCGTTTCGACAGCCGAACGTTCTTCTTTCCCAGAACTTGGGCACGGCGAATTCGCTCGAGCGCTGTGTCCACCAATTGATCTTCCTTGTCCCGCATGGCCAGTTGAATCGCATAGGCGACCGTGCTATCCTCATGGTCGTATAGATCGTATTCTCCCCCATCAACTGATTCAGATTCATCCGTCAGATCCTCATAATCCACAGGTCGCCTCCGCGGCCCTCGTCCTCCATACTCCTGCTTGTATCGACTGCTCCGCACCAGCTCCCGCCCGTATGCATCCTCCTCACTATCCACCTCCTCCAGCCGTGTCTCCTCCCAAGCCGCGCGTCCCCTAGTATTTCTCCCCGTTCGTGCCCCCGGTGGTCTTCCCCATGAGGGCATATCAAAAGGAGCTCGCGGCCGACCACCTAGACCGCCTCCTCGGAAAAAGCATTCTCGATCGGCTTATCCAAGAATGCAGCGTGGCCGAAAACGGTCACGCCAGTAGCACCAATCAACCACAAGGCAGTCGTGAGGGGAGAAGCCCAGATGCCGATGGGGACACCGACAATGAGTAGTCCAGTGTAGAGCTGCGAAGTGGTGAAACGAGAGAAGCCCAGATCCAGATCCCGACCTTGCAGCATGTTGATTCCGTAGAGACCACAGCTCACAAAGATCATGTCGAACAGCAGCACCAGGTTGGTTAGCAAGCTGTAGATGCTGAGCATCACAAATACGACGGCATAGTTGCTGGAGAAGTAGGACAAGTTGTAATTGACTCGACTCTGGGCTTCACCGAAGTTGGCAGGCTTGGATATGCGCTTGATGTCGAGGAACTCAGAAATGGGGCGCAGGTTGGAGAAGCGTGTGCTCAAAGAGGTGCTGCGGAGGTTGTTGAAGCGATCGCCAAAACGCGAAGTTATCATATCAATTGGAATAGAAACCATTTTGAATGAGGGAAAGGTTGAGAAGGGGGGGGGGAAAAGGATAAAAAGGTAGAAAAGTTGAAAAGTTGAAAATGGGACAGGTAATAAAGTGATAGACAGAGATCGAGAGGAAAGAAGCCGGAAACAACACGTCGGAAGAAAGGCAGTCACTTTTTTTTGGGACTTTTCCCCTTTCGTTCTTTTGTCAGAGCACGGGTGTTTCACCAATGTTCTCAAGTAATAAGAGAAATCAGAAATAGCTGGGCAGTTAGGTAGAAACAATTAAATAAGAATTGTCTACTAATAATAGTAATGGGTCCCTGAGATCCAGTTCCTGGCTCCCTGGGTAACTCCCTATAGGAGTCCTCAGTAGAGAGCAGAGACAGAGGAAACAGAACAAAAGAAAGTAAGAAGACTACACAGAGAATCTAGATCTCTCTATATATACCATTCACGGACGCTCAGATGCAATAATTCATGCAGAGCCCAACTATATTTCCCCAAAGTAAAAAAAGAAGAGTCACAGCCAAAAACAGTAAAACCACCAAGTCGATTGGGGCCACGTTTGGTTCTTCACGGTGGATAAACCGCCCGACCGCTTTTTTTCTTACATGTCCTCCACTAACACACAGCTTATTCGTTCATTTCTATTCTTTTTCTGGCTTCTGCGGCATTGACCGCTATCACCATGAAGTCATTTGCTTTTCTATCGCTCTTCGTCTTCTTTGGCCTTGTCGCTGCTTGGTCTAAAGAAGGTGGGTATTGTTTACCCCGGAGAAGCTCCCATACTGACCTCGAACAGACTATGAGATCTTTGGTCTACAAAATGATGTGGCCACAAATGAGGGTGCTAATATAACATTCTACGGTATGTGTTGTCTCGCAAGCATTGCCATTGTCTTTTTCTTCTTCATTTCCATTTCCCTTTCCATCAATTTCAGGGATACGTATCTAACTTCTATACCCGACCAACAGATCTCCTCGAGATCCGTCCCAATGCCAATCAGGAACAAATCACCAAGGCCTACCGCAAGAAATCGAGAACCATCCACCCGGACAAGGTCAAGCGCGCCTTCATCGCCAACTACGCCAAGGACAAGAGCAAGGCCAAGTCCAACCAGGGGGTCAATGTCAACAAGGGTCCTACTCAGCGCGAGATTGATGCCGCAGTCAAGAACGCCGATGCTCGCTCTGCCCGTCTGAACCTCGTCGCCAACGTCCTGCGCGGCCCGAACCGCGAGCGTTACGACCACTTCCTCAAGAATGGCTTCCCTCTGTGGAAGGGAACCGGATACTACTACTCGCGCTTCCGCCCCGGTCTGGGCTCCGTGCTGGCGGGTCTGTTCCTGGTCTTCGGTGGTGGTGCTCACTACGCTGCGTTGGTTCTTAGCTGGAAGCGCCAGCGCGAGTTTGTGGACCGCTACATTCGCCAGGCCCGCAGAGCCGCCTGGGGCGATGAAATGGCCGTTCCTGGAATTGACTCGGTCGTAGCCGCGCCTCCCCCTCCTGCCCCTGAATCCGGTGATGCCGGTGCCGTGGCTGTCAACCGTCGTCAGAAGCGCATGATGGATAAGGAGAACAAGAAGGATAAGAAGGGCGGAGGAGCCCGTGTGAGCGCCCGTGCCTCCTCCGGTACATCCACCCCCACCGAGCAGACTGCTAGCGTCGGCGAGCGGAAGCGCGTCGTTGCTGAGAATGGAAAGACCCTCATTGTCGACTCTGTTGGCAATGTGTTTTTGGAAGAGCAGAACGAGGCTGGCGAGCGCCAGGAGTTCCTGCTCGACATTAATCAGATTGAACGTCCCTCTATCCGTGAGACAATGGTGTTCAAGCTTCCCATCTGGTGTTTCAACAAGACTGTTGGTCGCGTGTTGGGAACTCCTGCCGAGGAGGAAGTTGATTCTGATGAGGCTGAGGAGTTGGTCGAGGAAGCTGAGACCACTGCCACCTCAAACTCCCGCTCCCGGAAGCGTAACAAGCGCTCCCAGCGATCATAGACTTGGGCAGCTGTATTGGTGCACCTGGGGCGTTAGTCGTTGCTTCCATTGTCCGTGGGCTGATCACAAAAGTTCCCCAAGGTTGCTTTACTATAGAATTCCTACTCGGATGTCGGCAATACCCAAGTAGAAACCAAAATGTACACATACTTTTTTTCTCAAATCCAAAACTTCAGTGCAGAACCTTGGAATGACGGTGGTCAGCTACTGGCCATCGATATGCTGTGCACGGTCAAACCTTACAGTACGATGTGTACTCCGTCCTTGCAGATCTATCTCATATTCGTGGTATACGAAGTATCCCCGCAAAGATCAGTCTGCCAGCAAGAGGAACAGTACTCCATAGCCTATGTTTGGTGGGTTTGTAGGCGGGTCTGTTAAAGGGCCAGTGCACTTCCTGTTGCAGACACAACTAGTGCGGTGTACAGCTGTCCGATACTACCATACCCACTGGCTTGGGCACCAACACTTGACTAGTCTGGTATAAATAGGATATTCTATGTATCTCTAGACTTGTTTCGAATTTTCGGATGTTTCATTGCTGATACAAAACAACTTTTCCAAAGAAAACAAAAACAACTCTATCGAATTCAGACGGCCCTCCCAGTTCATAACAACATCAAAAAGGGGCAAAGTTCAAAGAGCAAAAAAGAACGGGAGTATAAAAGCAAAAAAGCAGCAAAAGGACAGTAGGTGTATCATCGTGATCGTCATGTGTTGAATTTCAGCCATTGCAAATCGTGAGGGAAAAAAAGGACCTCGCGCTCCCGAGGTCGAACAGAGCAGCCTATCCAAGGAAATCACCTACGCAAACATCTTGGCAATGTTCATAAGACTGCTAATGTTCTCCGACATACCCCTACCACCACCACCACTATTCGACTTCGCCGCACCACCAAGGGCACTGGTAACAGCATGCGGCAAGCGAATACCAATCATAGCAAGCAGCTTTGGCAGAACACCGCTCGTCAGGAGCGGCACGATGACCATCATAAAGACCTTCATAGGGTTGCGACGGGCCCAGCGATAGATGTCACGGAATAGACGCTTGATGTCGCGGATCATGCGCTGGACGAATCCCTCACGGGGACGGGCTCGTCGCGACGAAGATGAGAACGACGAGAACACAGATGGGCTTGATCGGCCTCCTGTTCGGCTTCCGCCCAACCCGCCGAAGAAAGACGGCGGGGAGCTTCGCGTATGGTGGGTGGAGTGGCCGGATTTGCTGGATTTGCTGCGTCTGCTGTGTGTGCTGTGCGAGCTAGGCGTCGGTGATGATCGTCGCCGCACATATCCTCCCGATGAGACTGCGCTGGATTTACCGTCGAACCAACCCATTGTGTTGGTGGTGTTGCTGATGCTGACGTCGACGCTGGTTACGGGTGCAACTTTGCGCACTTAGGGATCAGACCGGTGAGTGAGGTGTCTGGTTTGAAAGACGGTTTGTGGGTTAGGAGAGGGATTGGGTTGTGGTAGGTTGGTACACAGAAGAAGGTGGGTTTGAGATGTTGCTGCGTAACAATGCCCCTGATTATCTCTTTGAGACTTTTTTTTTTTTGCTTTCTGTGTGACAATTGAAAGAATGAAAAGAGACAGATGCAAGTCAGCCGCTAGCTGCTGCGGAGATGCGCAATCTGAGGTCTAGGCCGATGTGTGAACCCGCTTTTGCGGATTTTCTATGCAGGAAATCTCTTTTGACAGCTGGCACAATTGAGATTCTAAGAAGGTTTTGTGGGTAATACTGGATGTTAATTTCAGACGAATCAAAGGGGATCTTCAGATTAGACTGATCAGTCACCCCCTGGCGGAATAAAGGTGGCTGGGGTGTTTGACCGGCTAAACTTAGTCGTAAGCCGCATTTTGTGGTAGACGAAACACCCCAGATAGTCAAGCAATCCACTCTTGAGTGATATACATAATAAATCATCCTTCAAAATTATATTGGAATGTGTTATTCTGTACGGAGTACCCCGTACGGAGTATGTACATCGATATAGTTATTTAGAATCGAATATCACGAACAGTTGAACCGTGGAACCTGATGGGGATTTATGCCTTAGGCGACAACGACGTCACTACATGTGATGGCCTTCCATGGAAGACTCTCTTTCCTCGAGTCTATCATTAGTCTAGCATAATACCTTTTTTTTCTTGTTGATACCCAGACCCAGGTGTGACCATGTCGAGTATGTTGATCCTACTACCGCTCTCTTACCGGAATCAGTACTAACTCTTGACCAGGCCCTGATTATTGTAAGACCTCCCCAAAGGCCTAACTGAGACTGTGTTAACTAACAAATACCAGACAAGACTCTCGGCATAGCCCAAGATGCCACCCAACAACAGATCCGCAGTGCATATAAGAGGTGAGCGTACCACAACTAGTCTAAGAATGACCCTCTAACCAAGTCTAGGGAATCACTAAAATCCCACCCCGATCGAGTCCCCATCGACTCTCCAGAGCGCCCCTCACGCACACGAAAGTTCCAGGAAATAAACGACGCCTACTACACCCTATCAGACCCCGCGCGCCGCCGGGAGTATGACGCTACTCGCGCATACCAAGCAGCCGAGGAGGAAGCAGAAGCGAAAGTCCCACCAACCGGCGCCGGTGGTTTCCCCTGGTCCAGTTTTGGATTCGGCGGGAATCGCGATGACCGTGACAACGACCAGTTCGGCTCCGTCTTTGAAGAGATGCTGCGCGAAGAGGGTCTCGCCGAGGAGAACGAGGGAGAAGGCGGGAGACGGACTCGCCCAACCGGGCGATTTTGGGCACTGGTTGGCGGTGTCAGCGGTGGTGCTATGGGCTTCATTGTTGGCAATTTTCCTGGTGCGCTGGCGGGCGCTGTTGCTGGTAATCGTCTCGGCGCGGTCCGCGATGCTAAGGGCAAAAGTGTCTATGAGGTTTTCTTGGACCTTCCAACGCAGGATCGGACGCGGCTTCTGAGTGAACTCGCGGCTAAGGTCTTCCAGTCCACTATGGGACGCTGAGTTTTTCTACTTAAGGTTTGCTGAGCGGTTTGGGCGTTGGGAATTTTGGAGCTGGGCCTTACAGGCCTCGGTGGGAATTAGGTTAGGTTGGGTATTCCGACTGCACATGTCTACATGGCTATGGATCACTTAGTGCAGTAGGAAATATATATCTCAAGTATATAACAAGTAGCTAAGATAATTCTCCAGTGCACATGTTTTATTTCGTTCTGATCTGATAATTGACCCCTCCGTTTCTTATCGATAACAGCCAGGCACCAGAGGAGTCTAGATGTCAACCTTGGAATGCTGCACAACATAGCATGCATATATAGTCCAGGATGGCAGCGTTTATAGGATTAATTTAGATCTATGATTTGACTGAGTCACTAAAACTAGTATGTCTTTTCTCTAAACAGGCGAGACAGACAGACCAGGTGGCCTTCTGCTTCTGGACCCAAATGGCCACGCGCTAAGCTCCCACCCTCACTCACCGCTTGCGGCCAAAATGGGCCCCTCTCTCTATATTTACCCCCAAGTTGCCCGCAATTTTTATCTTTGACAAATTCCTTATTGAGACTCAATTGAATAAATCCTTCACAATGACTGAAGCTGCCAGTGTTTACCCCTCGTTGGAGAACCGTCCCATCAAGAACACGGTTGTTCTGTTCGATGTTGACGAGACTCTCACCCCCGCAAGACGGGTACGTTGCAATGAAACTCCCTGCTGTTCTAATATACTAATATATTTCTATTGTAGCATGCCTCGACAGAGATGCTCGAGTTGCTCTCTCGATTGCGCCACCAGGTCGCTATTGGATTCGTTCGTCACCTCCCAATAAAAACACCAAGCCCGTTCCTAACATGATTCAGGTTGGCGGCTCGAACCTTGTGAAGCAGCAAGAGCAACTTGGATCTTCCACCATTGACGTTACCACTATGTTCGATTTCTGCTTCTCCGAGAACGGTCTGACCGCATTCCGCCTCGGCGAGTCGCTTGCCAGCAACAACTTCATTCAGTGGCTTGGGGAGGACAAGTACCAATCGCTGGTGGATTTCGTTCTCAAGTTCATTGCCAACACCAAGTTGCCCCGCAAGCGCGGTACTTTCGTTGAGTTCCGGAATGGAATGGTCAACATTAGCCCCGTTGGACGTGCTGCCAGCATCGAGGAGCGTGATGAGTTTGAGGCGTACGTATTGATCTTACATCACTATGTCCACACGAATGGACTACCTGACTGACCTGTGCTATAGATTTGACAAGATTCACAATATCAGAAAGGCCCTGGTGGAGTCCTTGAAGAAGGAGTTCCCCGACTACGGTCTCACGTAAGTCTTTGTCCGACGAGGTTCGCTTCTGATATGGTACTAATCAATACGCCAATACAGATACTCTATCGGTGGTCAGATCTCTTTCGATGTCTTCCCCACCGGTTGGGACAAGACCTACTGCCTACAGCACATCGAAGCCGAGAAAGGCATCTCGGGTATCGACTACAAGACCATCCACTTCTTCGGCGACAAGACTTTTGTCGGAGGAAACGATTATGAGATCTACGAAGACCCCCGCACCATTGGACACTCCGTTGATGGCCCTCAAGATACCATCAACCAGCTGAAGAAGCTGTTTAACTTATAGATATGAGGTTAGATTGGATGTGTAGTAGCAGAAAGGGCATGGATTTGTGATAGCGTTTACATGCAAAGTCTAATTTGGATAATTTCTAAAAACAGCCTCAGCCAAAGATCGATCAAAATAGTCCTCTAATTGCATGAAATGATAATATACCCAACTCTACAATAACCTTTATAGGCAATGCGGGTAATGTGGGCACCGGGGCCGGGAAACTGAAAGCGTCGATCTTTCCGATGGTCTTTAGTCATCCCGATCCTTTCAGGCCCCGGAATATTCCAAGCTTTCCACTTCTGCGTCACTCTTGATCGGTTTCAAGTGCACTTGAATAAATCATTCGTTCGCCCGCTGTCCTTGACATGGCGCCTCCAAAACATGTCGCGGATGTCCCGCGCAATATCCTTCCCCGCCTAACCTGGAACAGCTCCTCTTCGCGTCCATCCGTTACCATCACTCACCATCCCGCACTTGCAACAAGTCAAAGACGACCACTTCCCCAAAGCTGGAGTTCTTCAAAGCGACAATTTCATTCTCTGAGCTCACCTCCCCAGTCTTCCCAACCCACCTCCACATCACCCCGGGATGCTATCTCCGGATTTCTTGTTTCCCGAGGAACCTCTATAACCACGCCGGCAACCTCGAACACAACCCCCCGCGGCAATCCGATCCGACACAATGGCGTCTACGTGGCTACCTACCATCCCGCTCGTCGCGCCTTCCACGCGACACCAGTCCGGGCCCGCGATCATCATTTCGATACCCTGAAATTCGTGAAGCGCTTACAGGCGGAGGGCTTCAGCAAGGAGCAGTCCGTAGCAATGATGCGGGTATTGAATGATATCATTCAAGAGTCAATCCAGAATTTGACGAGGACAATGGTCCTCCGCGAAGGTATGTGAATGCGGTTTCTGTCGCGCATTCGTGCTTTATAATGCTTGTCGGAGATCTAACGGGAAACGCTTTGCTAGATTCGGAGAGATCAACATACACACAGAAAGTGGACTTTGCCAAATTGCGCTCCGAACTACTCAACGCAGACTCGACTGAGGCACAGTTGACCCGTTCATCACACGAGAAGATCGCAGCAGACCTCGCCAAACTCAACTCACGACTCCGGGATGAGATTGGACGGACACAAGCCTCGGTCCGGTTGGATCTGAACCTTGAGAAAGGTCGGATACGTGAGGAGGCAAATAGCCAAGAAATGCGTATCAAGGAGACCGAGACGCGAATTGAGCAGGAGGTTGCTGGATTAAGGGAACGAGTGGAGGCTGTCAAGTTCTCGACGTTGCAGTGGCTTATGTATGGTCCCCGAGGTGTCTTATCGATGCGCGAGCTTATGCTAACTTTCTTTTCTCTCCAGGGGTGTCTGTACCGGTACTGCGGCCCTTATTCTTGGTGCCTGGCGCTTGTTTATGTGAATTGGGACGAAAGTCTGCATTGTATATGGAGTGATTGTTTTGGCTTGCTTTACATGAGATATCTGTCTCACAACTTCTCTTTCTTTTTGTACACTATACTCTCTACTCGTCTAGCCGTGCTAGGCTTTGAAAAAAAGATCATATGACTGTATTTTCTATCCGTCTATGTAAGTCTATTGGGCCGAGCCGTCGCGTTTCGCCAAATTTTGCCAGCAATTTATACACTCAACGATCTTCAAAAAAACAAAAAGCAGCAGCAGATTCCAATAAACAAAGCACCGAGCCACAGCCAGTGTGGCTCATGGAATTGGGGGGAGAGGATTGTCTGTGCTGATCAGTTGCTATCTGGTTCTTACTCCGCCTTCTTGGAAGCCTTGGTTCGAAGCTTCATCAAGCCAAAAACTAAGGCATACCCACTGATGGCGAAGATCACGCAGATACCGGCATCTCTCCAGCCATAATAGTAGTGGTTGATGTTGAGGTTCTTCAGATAATCACTTCCACGGGTATATTGACAGACCTGACACTGGGAAGTCGCCTCCGGGTTGATCAAGTTGATGGCGGAGCCCACGCCGGCCATGTAATCAGCCAGGTAGTCTTTGCATGTTCCATTAGGCGGGTCGAAGTAGGCAAACTCCTCTGCATTGCACGTCACCGTCGCATCCCAAATTCCAAAGGTGAACATGCCTGCCACCACATAGTTGAAAGGATTCAGGTAGTAGAACCAGAATTTCCAGAAGACATTGAGTTGTGGCTGAGGAACAAAGGCACCGCAGAATAGCACCAAGCTGTTGACAATGAGAGGATTCACCAGAGCTGCGAAGGTCGCATTTGGGGCGTACGCCGCGACAAATTGTCCGATACCAGTATAGATGAACTCGTAGATCAACATGATGAAGAACGTTGCTCCAACATTCTTGGAATCACGCGGCAAATTGGTTTGATAGTACCAGCAGACAAAGTATGAAACGGCACAGAGGCAGAGATAGGGAAATTCGGAGACAATAAGACCTGTGACAAAGGCCTTCCAAGAATACATTCTCGACTTCTTTTCACGGGCGTCGTAAATATCACGGCGTTGAATGAAAAGGGGTTGAAGCTGATTGATCACACCCGGTGCAACAAAGGTGAAATTGAAGATAGTAAACATCTTCAACTGAAGAGCAGAAACTGAGGGTCCAAGGTGCCAGAATGAGAAGCCGTTGAGAAGGGCAGAAATGATATGCAACTCCAGTTTGTTGTTGACATATTTGGTGTTTCTGGCCAGGGAGACACTCATCCGAGCGGTCACAAGCTTAGTTTGAGTCCAAAGCGAGGTAGCAAACTCTTTACCGTCATCCACCGTGGCTGGCGGTTTTGCGCTGGCCTCAGCAACAATCTGGTCGAGTTCTGCGACAGCGGCAGCATTTTCGGGAGAATCCAGCCAGACTTGGTGCCAATCCTTATCCTTCACGGCCTCAATGCCACCGGTAACCACATCGATCATATGCTCCGCAGGATTACTGCTTACCGGGCAGGGCGCTCCATAGTTTGCAAAGTAGTTACTGACCGTACAAGCTTTGTCGCCAATATCGCCAAAATAAACCATTTTTCCTCCTTTGGCTAGAAGCAGAAGTGTGTCGAACTGAGCAAACAACTGAGCTGATGGCTGATGAATGGTCACCAAGATTGCCTGACCAGCGTCAGCCAGCCGGCGCAGGAATCTGACCGTGTTATACGCAGATTGGCCATCGAGACCAGACGTAGGCTCATCTAGGAAGATGAGGATACTAGGCTTAGACACAAGCTCGACACCGATAGTAACGCGTTTGCGTTGTTCAACACTCAGCCCCTCGCCAACACTTCCAATTAATGTGTCTGCAAGATCGTGGAGCTCCAGGAGATCGATAATGGTATCGACATATGCCAATTTCTCTTCCTTCGGGACATGTTCAGGTTGACGGAGAAGAGCCGAGAATTCAAGCGCTTCGCGCACGGTCGCAAAGCCTTCGTGGACATCAAGCTGCTCGCAATATCCTGCCATTCTCTGGAAGGATACGGGGAGTTCACGACCGTCAACCAAGATAGTTCCTCGAATCGTGCCTTCTGTTTTCCTCTGCGCTAGGACATCAAGCAAAGTCGTTTTGCCAGCTCCGGAAGATCCCATCAAAGCACCAAGCATTCCAGGTTTAACCCATCCGTAGATATTGTCCAGAAGTACTCGATCTCCCGAAGGTGTCTGGACGGTATATACCAGGTTTTTCCAAGTAAACACCGAAGTGTTTCGCATAAGACGGGTTTCATTTTGACTATCGTCGGCCGTGATAGGGTTGTTGCTTTGGCTTTCTTTATTGCCTGGCGATTGGGTTTCCTCGTCTCTTGGGCGTTGGAAGTGCTTCATTTTCTCTCGGGGGATGAGAAGCGAGTTGCTGCCTGCTCCTCCAGCCCGCCACATACAGGTCGAGACAACTGCAATGGCAACAAAAAAGGTCCACCATCCCCACACAACCCCAAAGTTGCGCCAGAGCTGAGAGTGTTTCCAGTGGAGAGCAGCAAGGTAGTTATCACCGGTGACATAGGTGGCACCCCTTTCCGCTCCAGCCACACCGGCACAGGACTGGTAATTGGAATCATTGTAGCCAGCCCCGTGAGGAATCAGACTCCCACCAACACAAGGCAGCGTCTTATCATGGAATTCATTGGTTAGCCCTGCTTGAAAAGCGTAGGCCATTGGATTCGCATAATACAATTCGACAAACCAGTTTTTGATTTGAGGTTTGGGGATCATGTAGCCAGTGTACATCACCAAGAACTTCATGACAATGCCAGACACCTTGGAAGCAACCTCCAAGTTGCTGCAGGCAGCACCGATTGATCGGAACATTGCATTCACACACTGGTATATTCAGTTAGTAATGACTCTACATAGCTCTTGGTAGGCAATGTTTGCCATTCATGGCAGTTCACAGTGGTATGAGGGGACTCAAATAGACTTACCAAGGTGATAGCAATAAGAATGATCCAAAAAGTGAAGAACGCAGCAGCAGTTGCTTTAAGGCCAACCATCCAGTATAAAACAACCGAAAAAATGGTACATTGGAAGAGGACCACAGGAAGCTCCGCAGTGAGGATTGCGATGGCGTATGCAGCTGGATGATGGTACCCAAAAGATTTGTGTTTGATTAGAATCGGCCGTCCCCTGAAAGCGCCGGTGACTTCAGCCATTGCCATGGTGACCTGGTAGACATGAGAGAAGAAAACCGCGCCGCCCTTCGTGAAGAGACCCGCCGAAGTGTCCGGGGAGTCGTAAAAGCAGGATCCGACGATTAAAGCCATGGCAAGGGACACAAACTGTCGAATGAGAAACGTAGATTTCTCGCCCCAGATGATTTGATACTGGCGGATGATGCATATCTTGAGCTGGTGGTGGAACGCTGTGGTCAAGGGACTGCCTTTCGGCAGGGAAGTATTCTTCTCAAATGCTACCGAGTCTTGAAATGCACTCGTGCGTTCCTGGGCTAGCGGTGTCGATGCATAGTCATACTCAAGCATTGCATTCTGGCAGATGTCGGACTTTTGGTAGATGCCGAGGAGTTCATCGGGGTTTTGGGGAAATGAGCCTTCGTACCCAGGGAGAATGCTTCGCTCGGTCGGCACCGTGATACCAGTCAGATAGTCGGACACATTCGCACCATCGGTGTATCCGAAACCTAGACCTTCCATGAAGGGCTTTGCCAAGGGTGCTGGTCCGTAGAAAATCTGCTGTCCTTCATCCAACACCAGGACTTTATCGAATAGATCATAGATACCATTACCCGCTTGATATAGCGTCACGATAGTGGTGAGACCTAGAATATCGGTCATTGCGCGTAAAGCCTTCGCCCACTCGAGTGCAGTGGATGCGTCCAGGCCGCGAGTGCTGTTATCCCAGCAAAACACCGATCCCCTTGTCGCCATACACTCGATGATCGACACACGTTTTCGCTCTCCACCCGAAACACCGCGCACGAACTCGTTGCCGACCTTAGTTTCTTCCGTATGCGAGATCTTCATCGACTCCATAAGAAAGCGCTTGAAATCACCTGCCCAATCGGCCGGCGTGACCCCGTCGGGGATATGAAAAGGGATCTTCAAACGAGTAGCGAAATCCATGGTTTGTCCCACGGTTAAGGTAGGGAAAAAGACCTCCTCCTCACTATTCATGACGATTTGACCCTTGTACTGCTCGGCCTCCTCGGGCGTCATTGAGCCGAATTTGACATCGCCTGAGACCGATCGATAGCCCGCTCTCCGATTCGAAAGGACATTCAACAAGGTAGTACAACCGGAGCCGGGGCGTCCTAGCACGAGTAGCATTTCGCCTGGCTTCACACAGCCATGACTATCCTGTAGGATGGACCGAACGGCGGGCTTCTGTCGGAGATCACGCGCAAGTTGGAGGAGGTTGAATTGGGAGAAGAAGTTCTCATTGACCGACGCTCCTGCCGAAAGGACGTCCACGGTCAAGTTTTTCCAGGTGACCCCGAGTTCACGCTTGCTGTAGCCCGCGGCCAGATCACGTTCCTGCATGGCTGAGACTTCCCCGGACAAGCCCCATTTGACAGGTATCTCCGGGGGGAATTGGGTACCATGGAGAAGGTCAGAGAGGGTTTCATGGCTTTCTGCTTTGCGAGGGTAGGCCACTTTCTCGGTCGAGTGGGATACTGGTTCCTCTTCCATGATGGTTTGGAACCTAGTCAATGCAAGATTGGTACAACAAAATGAAGTAAAAAAAAAACAAAAATTCTATAAAAAACGAGAGAAGAGGATTAGATACAGAAAAGAGAGTCTAAGAATGAATGTTAAATATCTATGAATGAGCGTCGTTGGGTGTATCTCTATATACTGAAGACTATGTATGCACCATATTTTATGTATTGCGTTGATGTCGATCGTATAGCACTAGGCTCCTGCATAAGAAGAGTCATAAATTGAGAGATTCGGATACACGGCCAGTCAGTCAATTAAATGTGGGGGATTATCTCCAGGAGAACATATGTATAAAATGTAATCGGATGGTTATGACCTTCGAATTGAACATAAGAGATTTGCAGCTAAAGCATAACGGCTCTGGGTTAACGCGACCAATCAAATTTGCCGATCATCCATTAATCTATAGCTATAGTTAGTAGATTTAGTATAGCTAGTATGGTCAAAAGCAAAGGATCTCAATTTTAAAAATGCCGCATAGAAACTTCAAAGTGCTACTGTCAATGATAGATAGCAAGTTCTTTGCAATACGAACAGCAGACCCCTAAGGAGCTATTTTACACAATCAAGTCACTACACAATTCATTCATGGTCATCTTGGTTTAATAATATTCCGAATCTGAATCGAAGAAGAATAGTCGGCCGCGTTTGCGGCCTTGTGATGTTTTTTTAGCAGGTCTTTTGAGATGTCTTTTCAAAGTTGTTTTAAGAAATACACGAAGGCGGTAAAAACAGCATACTTTGTGCAGGAGACTTTTCTATATATAACCAGGGATCTAAACCAATGAATTAATTCTCCATGTTCTCCTGTTCTTCCCTATAAATATGTATGTAAGTGGCCCACGGTAACCCGGCTATACGGCAAGGGACCCGGCCGCAAATGTCTTCGAAACAGGATGGAAGCTCCATTCTCTAGGCTTGTGCAATCTGGGTAAGTGCGTAGTGCCGAGTTCCATGTCTGATCCACTAATAGACCAATAAATCTACACCATAGAGCCAAAATCAAACCCAAGCCCATGGCTCCGTTATCATCAGGAGTGGAGCCTACTTGAAGCGTTTATGATGATTCGATCGCGAACCTATGTTTCATGTTCTACTCCCTAGTCATACGGGTATTCGATGTGCATTCGAATTCAAGGTCCAACTATTTAAAGCGCCTTCCACCACTCCACTCTATGGAATGATTTGTGACCTCGTACGCACCGTGAAACCTGGAAATTCCTACCTGTCTCTACACAAAGCCAATCCCTTCCTCTTATTTATTTCCTTCTACAGGGTTAATACCTTGACTGGTTAAAGTCGATCAAGTTTGTGTCAGATCTAGAAGTATAGCTCGAGAGCGAGAAAGCTACCTCGACCCCATATCTTCCTTAGGTCTTCGCCCTTTGCTGCATAAATTTTATACTTCTGTCCACTATACGACCACATATACCCACATACACATACCATGGCAACACACGTATCAAAACCATCGTCCAATCACTCAGATCTTGACAACGTGTGCAAGAGGGTGCCCAAGGCCTGCGATCGCTGCCGTCTGAAGAAATCTAAGGTATGCCACGATGGACATCAACCAGGGCCATGTCATCTATACAACTGACATAACAAGTGTGATGGAGCCATGCAATGTTCACGTTGTCGAGCAGATAATTCCATCTGCGTGTTTGGGGAGCGAAAGAAGGCTCATGAGAAAGTGTACCCTAAGGGGTAAGCTGGCTCTTGAAAAAAAAAAAGAATATCCACCAAGATATAGGACTAATCACTCCCATCGTTCCTAGATACGCCGAGAAGCTCGAACAACAACAAGTCTGGCTAGTCCACGGTCTCCAAGCACTATACCATTGCATAACCAAAGGTGAAGCCCAGCCCGGCGATCGTTTGAATATCGAACCCAACGGCCAGCCGCTCACCCATGACCTTCTTACACGCCTCGGCGCTCTCGATCACTTCCAGGGTGAGCGTTTTGAGGAAAATCTCGAAATTTTGCAGAAGGGACTATGGCGCCCCTATTTGCAGTGTCGGGAATCAACCGTCGGCAGCTACACAGACGAGCAGTCGTCTGCCATCCGTATACAAGTCTCCCCCGAAGCCTCCTCTCAGCAGACTATTTTCTCTACGCCGCCAGCACACAATAGCCCAAACAATAAGACGCATATCAAGGAAGGTTTTATGCTACCCACAACGCGACATACTATTCCATCTGTTCAATCAATACAGGGTGTCATTGACCCGCTTGCTCTCCAGGGTGGAGCAGCGCAGTGGCGGCAAGCCAGCAGCGATTTCAATATCTTCAACGAGATGGATACGATGACTGCCGCGGATTATTCGACTCCCATTCTCGACGAGCCTATTCCATCGCCTGTATTCACTCGCGAGATGCAAATGGATTGTATCGTGTCCAATGAATATGAAGACTATTATCAGTTTCTCAATTCGGATTCAACTGATATCACCTTGATCTAAAAGACTGTTTCGTTTCATGTAATTTAACCCCCGTTATTGACGGCCTTCGATCAGACTACAACAGGCTCCAATAATAAATTAACCCCTGAAACTTCTCCATAACCCACCCAATTAATTCGAAATGATAATAAGGACCTCTTTATCATTAATCGTGCGATAGGTCAAGTCTTCAGCGAAAGTGGTCGTATAGTCGATATACATCTAGGAATGAATCTGCTCTAGGCAAAAGGACCTTTACGGGCTTACGTCGGAAGTCCGACGCACCTTCCCCTCTTCATGCACCTCGTCAGGGGCAAGTCTACTCCGCAGAAGATTATCATTGTGAATGCTATTGTATTGGACTATCCCATTGCATTGCAAGAGCCACTTCCAAGGTTACATAGCCTTTAGCCACCCGTCTTGGGTAAAATCCAATATCCTAACTGGTTCAGAGGTAACATGCTAGTCTCTCCAACGGATCCGCAATCTCCCATGGAGTATTATTTTACCCTGCTATCTGGATGGCTGTTATATATTGTTCCTCTCTGCCTCGTGGTCATATTTTGCAATGTTTTTAAATTGCATCGCAGATCTTGGAGTCGACCTCCAGTGTTGGTACTTAGCCAAGAACCACTGAAGCCTCAGACTTACATAACTGAGAACACTTTTTGGTCTATTGATCGTTGCGATTTTGAATCAAAGGTGGACGGCATCCACAGCAAACTTAGAAGAACCAATCCAGGCTTCGGATTACTAGCGATTATGGTTCTGTTCGCCGTATGTGGGTTGTTGCTTTTGGGGCACCTCCCATCGGTTTCCTCACTCCAAAGCGGATTGCGGTCTATGGCTGGCCTTTCATCCCAGACGCCCAGTCCGACTGGTTTGCAAGATTTTTTTCAGCTCTATCAGCCAGTATCGCTCGATTCCAGTGGGAATAACAACTGCGATGTCGAGATATTGCTGATGGATTACGTCTTTGGAGCCAGTTATGGAGCACCATTTGTTGGTAAGAGGTCTCGAAAGTTACTTCTACTTGTAGACTAACCTTGCAACTTATCTAGGCAACTATGAGCCCCCAAACTGCGACTTTGATACTGTACGAATCAATCTCACAGTCACCTCTCGGGGGAGGCAGTTTGACCGCCTGGCACTCATGTACCTGGGGGACAATGAAGTGTTCCGGACTTCAACGGCAGAGCCGACAGCCAATGGGATTGTCTGGACCTATGTCAAAGAAATGTCGCAATATAACTCGCTATGGAAGAGTCCCCAGAAGTTGATATTTGATTTGGGAAATATCCTTAACGACGTTTACACCGGCTCATTCAATACCACGCTAACAGCGCACTTCTCTAAGGAGCACAATGTCAAGACTGCGGACATAATTCTTCCAATCTCTGCTAAAAAGTCAGCGTCAAACTCTTCAAGTGCCTTCTCACTGCCCACAGACAATACAACAGTCATGTATGAGATCCCTGCTGCGGCATCGCGTGCTGTTGTTTCAATATCAGCATGTGGACAATCAGAAGAAGAGTTCTGGTGGTCTAACGTCTTCTCTGAGGATACCCAAGACTTTGAAAGCACTGTCGGTGACCTATACGGGTACACTCCTTTTCGTGAAGTTCAGCTCTATATCGATGGAATACTTGCCGGGCTTGTCTGGCCATTCCCCATCATCTTTACGGGAGGCGTGGCTCCTGGATTCTGGCGCCCGGTTGTTGGAATTGATGCATTTGATCTTCGACAGCCGGAGATTGATATTTCCCCATTTCTCCCCATGATCCAAGACGGGAAGCAACATTCGTTTGAGATCCGAGTGACTGGTCTTAATGTTTCCGCAGATGGGAGCGTCACATTTGCAAATACTGTGGGCTCGTATTGGATCGTCACAGGAAATATCTTCATATACATCGATGGCAGCAGCTCGGCCTCGAAAGCCGCTGTTACTGGAGCCAATATCCGGCCCACCGTGGATGCTCCCTTGCCAGTGTTTGCTGCGACTCGGAATCTCATCCATACTAAAGCCGGGGGAAACGATTCCTTGTCATACTCTGTGGTTGTTGACCGAGTTTTCAGTGCAACATCTTCTCTGTACTCCTGGTCTCAGAAACTATCATTCTCCAACCATGGTTTCCTCAACCAGCAAGGATACAGTCAAGTTAACACGCAAGTTACAACCGGCACTAACACTATCACCGAGCACGGGGATTCACCCATCTCAAACAGCATTGCATTCCATTACCCCTTAGTTGTCAATGCAACTTACGGCATCACCTCAAATGAGACGACGATTGACTCTTGGATGAAGAGAGGTCTTGATATTGAGTCAACAGGAGGGCTCGGTATTTCCACTTACACCTTAATGTCGGGGTCATCATACCTACACACAAGTCAGTCTGGCACGGCACACTATAAATCCGTCACTGGTGGGAGTTCAAGCTCTTGGGGCGACACCATCAATGTGTTCGACAGTCTGACTAATGGAAAATCATACCACCGATCTGTTCATGCAGCCAATGGTACCGTTGTATATGACACCGACCCTCAAGGCAAGAACTCGGCTTCTTCCCTGCAAGATTACGGGGATACGGGGAGAGACAGTGTGAGGGCTATGATTGGAAAAGGACCTGGAGCTCTTGTAAACTAGGGAGAATGACATGATATGAAGTCTCCCGGAAATTAGGTAGACAATGTCCCGTTTGGGACACGGAGGTGGGATACAATGCGTCATGATAGAGTAGCGCCAATAGTGAGTTATTATGATAGAGTAGGAAATCAAAGAGTGGTTATTTCTTTTTGAAACAAATAAGTCTAAATCGGAGATGAGACAAGGTCCTAGACATTCATTCATGGCAGTGAGGATAAAAAGCATCTGAACTTCTCGTCGTTGTTGCCCCCAACAAATTTGGGTTCTTTTTTACTTCTTCGCATATTTTACTGGTCCCTTCTCATCCCTTTCACGTCAAACCTCTCTTCAACGCGGCCTCATAATGGAACTTACTTCCTACAGCGTCGAGGGTACTGATCAATTTGTCCACCGACTAGGGGAGTAAGTTCTTGGGTCTACACACTATAGGGACGAGAGAACTGACAAGACACAGATTTTATCCCACAGGAATCTTCTCCGACCTCACAATTTACACCACAGACCAAGCCTTGAAAGTACACAGACTCGTAGTCTGCAGCCGATCCGAAACTTTCTGCCTGTTCTTCTCCGACGTTCCCAGTGCAAGTCTCCCCAGAGCCTAAGCTCTATTATCCCCAGGCTCAGCTGACTTTAAGGGTTTCAGGAAAGCGAAGAGCCTCATGTTTTCGAAATAAAAGACGAACATCCACGCATCGTTGAAGCCATGATACGCTCATTCTACGGCCTACATTACGATATCAACCAATCCGACCATCAAATGTGTCCTATGTTGTTCAATGTCAAAGTATACTCAATCGCCGACAGATTTCAGGTAGAATATCTCAAAATCCAAGCAAAATTAACCTTCGTCACTCTCGCTCAAGACCACTGGAACTCGGACGAATTCTTGACTGCTGCTTTTGAAGCATACAAAACAACACCAAAGTCGGATCGAGGTCTCCGGGATGTGGTCGTTGCCGTTTGTCAGAAACACAGGAGGGAGCTGCGCGAGAAGAAGGCATTCGAGAGACTGGTTCAAGAAACCCCCGGGCTTGCTACCGATCTTGTGCTGCTTTCGCATAGGTGGTTGCCTCAGTCGGCGTCTACGAGAGTTCGTGTTGTTCAGTCTTTCTCTTGCCTTTCTTGCTTTGCGAAATGGCAGATCCAGGTGGGACTGGCAGAGTACTTCACGGCATGTCCGTTTTGCCATGATGATAAGGTTGGGGCTTTTTGAGGTCTATTTCGCTGTAATTTGAGGGATTGCCTCTTCCTTAAAGATATTACGGGGTTTTTTTCAATGTCGTAAGTTTAGTGGGAGTATTTGCACAAGGCAGAAGCATGTTTGTGTATCTCCTGTCATAAATACACGGGTTTTATTCGCGAATGCGGAAACTTGATACTCTCCAGTGTAGCTTGGTGCGGTTCAAAGTATATATTCACTTAGAACACCGGAAACATCCAGATATGTTTACATAGTGAATCATCATACACTTAGTATCAGCATAGCTATTATCATATGAAATAGATATCATAGATTTTAGTCGTGTCATGGATCACAGACAGCTGGACGTAGTATGTTGAGACCTACCTAAGCTATTGTAGTCTTGGTATACCAATTTTAGCCGGAGTTGCATTTAGCCGGGGATTAGCTCCTGTCTTATCTTCCCGTGATCGCTGCGATAAGAGGACAGCCCCATCTTTCCGAGTCGCATTCTCTCTTCATGTCAGCTCTCCATTGTGGCGACAGGATAGGCTGTGGTTTTCAAAATGAGTGTGGTCGTAGAAGATATCGAATTACCAGGTATTTTTTTCTTGTTTGATGATTGTCTTGACGAAACTGAAGCACTGACACCTCTTGTTTTTCTAGACGCGACTCTCGAGTCTCTATACCCCATATTCCAGCAATGCGATGAGCCTCTCACCAAGCGGCGCAAGACTACTAAAGGAAGCCCAAGGAGTCTAACACAGGAGAATGGCATATCAGCGACAGGGATTCCTCAGGGCTACATTCCATTGGCACGGTTGACATTGCGCATGGTAGGTTGCCACTTGAATCTCGCTATAGAGCAAAACGGCTGATCTATTCCCCTTTGCAGAAACCCCCGCATACGAGCACGCGCAAATACAAAAGGTCTTTCTATTCAAACCTCTCCACCTCCCGCGTTCCTATACTCCTAGATGTTCGAAGCGTTCATTTTCTCGACGATGATCTGAACAACACGCGACAACCAGACTCAGCCGATGGTGAACCCAATCGCATGGAACTGGAAATATCTAGTCTCGATGAAGAAGAATTGCTGATATATCCATGCGAGGACTTGCGCCTATTTGATCTCCTTGGACAACTTCAGGCCGCCAGCAAACTACCTCACGTGGACCAGTTCTTCAATGATGTGCCTACAGCCTGTTACCAAGCGCATCTGTGTGCCTTACCAGATGGAGCAACTTTTACTCTCGAGACGGTAGTTCTTTGGAGTGATTCTATCGAGGCTCCAGCTTTAAACCGTTTGACGGAAGCGGATATGGAAGCATTTACAAGATATGTGCTGCAGGAAAAATGTGTTCGCCCGTCAGCATTGACCAAACCACACGAATATCGTGATAAAATGCTGGGAACACCTCAACAATGGTCTCCCCGGGATTTCTACAATAATGTTCACGTTCCCAAGGTCACAGAGAGTTCGACGAATATCAAATGCCCTGATTTAAATTGCAAGCTATTCCCGTTCCAGAGAAGAGCTGTTCGCTGGCTTTTACAAAGAGAAGGAAGAGAAGTCGGGCCAAATGGCGAAATTATGCCCATCGAAGCACTTCCCAAAAGTGACCTTCCAGCGTCTTTCAATTCCACGAAAGATGCCGATGGACGAACCTACTACTTCAGCCATCTTTTCATGATTCTGACGACTGATCTTTCTGAGTGGCACGATGCCGCATATAATCTGAAAGGTGGAGTACTTGCAGAGGAAATGGGGTTGGGCAAGACAGTCGAAGTGATTGCGTTGATAAGTCTGAACAAGCGAGAGTCGCAGCCCATGAAGGCTGATCCCGACGGATTGAAACCTACTGGTGCCACTTTGATCATCACACCCCCCGCGATTCTTGAGCAATGGAAACAAGAGTTGGAAGAGCATGCTCCCACTCTGCGTGTACATCATTACAATGGAATCAAACGTGGGAAACAAATAACCGACGACATGATCGCCGACGAGCTTGCCGAGTTCGATGTTGTTCTGACCACCTACAATGTCATCGCGAAAGAAATCCACTATGTGGGTGCTGCTCCGCAGCGATCCCTACGGCACGAAAAGCGGTTCGTACAAAGGAAGACACCACTAGTTCGCCTCTCATGGTGGCGGGTATGTCTGGATGAGGCTCAGATGATTGAGAGCGGAGTCAGCAATGCGGCGAAAGTAGCTCGCTTGATCCCTCGAGAGATTGCTTGGGCTGTGACTGGTACCCCACTGCGCAGAAACATAGACGACCTGTTTGGTCTTCTTCTTTTCCTTCATTATGAGCCGTTCTGCTTTTCAGCCTCTTTGTGGAGAAGATTGTGTGTGTGTTTCGGTCCAGTTTTGGCAAAAATCATAAACACAATCGCTCTTCGGCATAGGAAAGGTCAGTTATTGGATGAGCTTCGCCTACCACCTCAGAAACGCATTGTTATCACTACTCCCTTCACTGCTATAGAAGAACAGAAGTACGCTCAACTTTTTGAGCAAATGTGCGAAGAATGTGGGTTGAACGCCGTGGGTGCCCCCCTTCGAGGAGACTGGGACCCCGAAGATCCTGTAATTGTCGAGAAAATGCGTACTTGGTTGACTAGACTCCGCCAAGCGTGTCTCTATCCCGAGGTTTCTTTCCATAACCGAAATTTAGGCTCAGGCTCTGGTCCTTTGCGGACTGTAGCCCAGGTTCTGGAAGCCATGACTGAGACCAACGAGGGGGCTATACGTACGGAAGAACGATCGCTCCTTTTATCTCAACTTCGACGAGGCCAGCTTCTAGAGAATGCAAAACGCCGCCAAGAAGCCCTCGTTATTTGGCAGAAAGCACTGGACCATGCCACTCAGCTGGTCGAAGACAGCAGGGAGCAACTGCGCCTACTAAAGATCAAAGGTGCTACCGATGACAATAACGGGGAGACTCTAGGAGTCGTCAATCCGGATGACAAGGATGATGATCAAAACGAAGAGGACAAAGATCCAGACAATAACAGTCGCCTCGGCCAGTGCCGACTGAAGCTTCGAGCTGCACTCGAGGTCCAGCATATTGCAGTGTTCTTCACTGCGAATGGATATTATCAAATCAAAAGTGATCCAAATTTGACCCAGCCAGATTCAGATGAGTTTAAAGCGCTTGAGAAACGCGAAGAGGAGGCTTACGAGGCCGCAAAGGTCATTCGCAAGGAGATGTTGACTGATATTTCCCGGAAAGTCGAGCGCTACATGAAAGAAATCAAGATTAAGGCACGAGACAGAGATTTCGTGAACATCCCGAAAATGAATCCCCATCTTTACAGCAAAGGAGTCGAGTCATACAATCTGCTCAGCAAGTTTGAAGATTTCTGCGACGCTCTGAACAAGCATGCTGAGCAATACAAGGAATGGCGGGATGTCATGACCAAACTAGTCTCTCAGTCGCTCATTGACCAGGAAGAAGAAGCAATGCTGGAGGGCGATGAGTATGAGCGGTCAACAAAACATCAAGATGAGATGTATGTCTACATGGAAGCCTTGAGGTCAATATACAGCGACCGCCATGACGCTCTCACCGGTCACACGAACACTCTCATTTCCCACGAAGCCAAAGCCGGAATCGTCCAGGCCCAAAAAGGTGAGGGGCCCGCTCCACAACTATTCCTCAAGATAATGGAAACTCGCAGTCAGCTTATGCCTGATCCTGATCTTGGATCGCTCCGTAGCATTGTCAGTGAGCTTCGCAAACTTGTGACATCGCTGGAGTGGCAAGCCGGCTCGGGCAATTCGCGTGCCCGTGCTGAGCATGAAATCGTCGAAATGGTCTTGAAAAATGCCGGTCAAATGATCGCCGAGCAACTGAAAGTATCGAGCAAACTGAATAGAGAAGTCGAAATGTTCCGCGACACCATGAACAATCGACTGGAGTATTATCGTCACCTGCAGCAAATTTCGGATACGGTGGCCCCATACGACGAGGAAAGTGCAGGCAAGCCGCTAGATGAATCCGCCTTTAGCCTGAGGTTGGGGCAAGAGGGAGTCACCGAAGAAAAGATTGCATCTCTCAAGTCCAAAGCAAGATATCTTATTCACTTAAAAGATGGTGCTACCTCCGACAGTAACGATCGAGAGTGCATTGTCTGCCGATCGACCTTCGAAGTTGGTGAGTATTCCTTTCTCTGTATGTATCCTTTGCACGCGGACTGACCATTCATGCAGGTGTGTTGACTGTTTGTGGTCACAAGTATTGTACTGACTGCTTGCGACTATGGTGGGCTCAACACCAAAATTGCCCAATATGCAAGAAAACGTTGAAGCGTAATGATTTCCATCAGATCACATACAAGCCACAGGAGCTAGTTGCACAAGAGGAAAAGACACATGTCAAATTGGACCACGAAGGTCATTCTCAGAATGCAATTTACAGTGACATCAGCTCCAGCCATCTTAATGAGATCAAGAAAATTGACTTGGAGCACTGTTTCGGAGTAAAGATTGACACGTTGGCCCGCCACATCTTATGGCTGCGGGAGCACGACCCTGGCGCAAAGTCGATCATCTTCTCTCAATACGCAACCTTTGCGTCGCAAGTACAGGCCGCATTTAAAGTCCATGGAATCGTCACCACCAGTATTGACTCTCCGAATGGAATTGAGAAGTTCAAAACAGACCCGGCTGTAAGCGGCCCGGACTATCCCTCACTTGAAAAAAATGAATACGCTGACGATTTCTAACCTAGATTGAGTGCTTTTGTTTTTATGGCAAAGCACAGTCATCCGGACTGAATTTGATCGTTGCAACCCATGTCTTTCTATGCGAACCACTCATCAACACGGCAATCGAGCTCCAGGTCATTGCGCGGGTGCATCGTATTGGCCAAAATCGACCAACAACAGTATGGATGTACCTTGTCTCCGGCACGGTGGAAGAATCCATATATGAGATCTCAGTAACCCGACGCCTGGCTCACATCATGGAGAAAGAGAAGCAAGCCAATAAAGCACTCTCGAAAACTCCTGCCGACGGTGATAGTGTCACTGAAGAGGCCATTGAATCTGCCAACTCGATGGAACTACAAGATGCCACTCTCACAACCCTGATGCAACGCGGCTCCGTAGGTGGCGAGATGGTGAAGAAGGACGATCTTTGGCAATGTCTCTTTGGAAATACTAAGCAGAAAGATAGCACTGAACCTTCAGCTGAGGCAGAAAGGGAGGTTAATCGATTCTTGAGAGGCGAAGCCGCTGAGCAAAGAATGGAGCGTTGAGACACGGATATTTACTGTAATTTAGAACATGTTAGGTCTTATTATGAGGTAGACTAAATGTTCACTTGCTTATTCTTCCCTCTTTTCTTACATACATATGTCTTGTAGACTCATCCATGTGACTTCATTTCTGATCGCAGCTGCCAGATATAGATGGCCCCTGCCAAGAAAGTGACTAATCATATCCTGACTAATCGATGGACCACCTGGGCAGGTGCCCCCCATACTGTTCACTTGATGGCGGTGACGTGAGTGCAGTTGCCTATATCATTTATTCATTTATAAATCTGGTCATCTCCGTGTTTTTCCCCATTGTGTCAATTTGATGCTACCCTGAAATATCTCTTCTGCAAAATATTTTCATTATGGCGGACTCACCGAGTCCTGAGGCTCGCGAGTTGAGCCTGATAGGCAAGGTGGAATTCAGAATTGCCATGGCAGACACAGATGAGAAGCTTCAGTCTCTACTTGGAACATATCTGCCTCCTTTGTTGCTGAAGCTTGGGTCAGACAGCGTGGAGGTGCGCAACAAAATCATCTCGGTCTGCCAGCATGTCAACACCCGAGTCAAATCCCCCTCTATTCAGCTGCCCGTGGCAGCATTATTGAAGCAGTTCAAAGAGCAAAAATCTCAATTGATCAGACACTTTGATCTCATCTATGCCCAGCAAGGTATTGATCGCCTCGGTTCCGAAGCCAGAGTCGAAATCCTATTGCCCTTGCTCCAGGGTATTTCGAAGATCGGAACGTCACCCACTCAGGGTGCTATCGTATTTAATCTGGTCTTGCGTCTATTGCCACTTCTCAAGCTGCCATCAAAGGGCAGTGAAGAAGATCAGCGCCTGAAGGCCCGACTCGGTCTATCAGACGAAGATACCCAATTCTTGTCCTTTTGGCTGGCGAAGTTGTTACTTCTTACCCCTGGCGCCAGGGAAACTTCAACATGTCCAGGTCTATCTCCGGACGAGTATAGCTTCTTGAACAAGGGTGCCCCCGGAAATGAGACATGGAACCCTTCTACCGATGGTGGCTTGAATCTGACCGAGACGAAAGTTACTGCCCTTCGATTCATCGGAAGCGGTGCCTTCGAGGATCCACACCGATTCCTGCCTTCACTGATCGCTTCTGCTGATGCCAACTCCCGCCTTGCTGATCTTGGAGATGAGACTCTGAAGCGATTTGCTGCGGATATTGAAAATCCCGATGTTGTGCAGGAGTTGTATGATTTGTATTTCGGCACCGGTGGTGCTCCTCCCGTGCGTCCTCCACTCCAAGTGAAGCTCCTCGTATTCCTGGGGAAGTCCATCAAAGCTACTGCAGACCCCCAGCGGATAATGAGACTCATTGAAGATGGGCTCCTTTCAGACTCTGCTAGATCCTCTCAGGGGCTACAAGCGTCGAAACTACGGACCCAGATTTTTACATTTACTACTTGGGTTGTTCGTATGGGCACACCATCTGATCTTAAACAAATCGCGCCCAAACTTATCGCAGGACTGAGGGATTTCATTCAATCTCAAGGATGGCCTAGTCCGGCAGCTAGTGGACAGAAACTACCCACAACAGATCTCAGCCTGCGAGGCCTTGCATACGAGAGTATTGGTATCATGGTCCCCAAAGTCGATTTTATGTCCCAAGCCGATGCTGTAGAGAACTTCGAATTTGACCTGGTCCGATGGCTCTTTGCTTCCTTGAGTGCTGATGACTCGAGTCCTCAGATATTCGTCAGCATCGACCAGGCACTAGGAAGCATTCTCAATTCTTCATTGGACAGCCACGACAAGACCTTCCAGGACCAGCTGCGTCCATTCCTGGTCCGTCAGATGAGCATGCAGCCTGGCGATATCGATCCCGACACTGGTTACCGTGCTGCGCGAGGTGTTCAGTACGCCGCAGTGCGTTTTGCGAATCGATTCTTGCCATTTGGCGATGTGGTCGCGCGTTGGATTGATTTGATGGCCATTGCAAGAGGCCCAGAAAGACAACAAGAAATCGTTGAGGAAGGAAAGAAAGGCCTTCATCCTTACTGGTACCGGCTCCTCAATCCTGCCAAGGATGGGAAATGGTCAGCTTCCGCGGCAGCCCCAGTTCGCGACGAATCCTGGTTCGACTTCCCAAAGTTCAACGAGGCTACTCGTTTCCTGTTTGGTTCGGGAGGGCAAGAGGAACATTTGAACGTTCAGGCTTTGTCCGCGTCTCAACTTCTGTCTGGTCCCTACAAAGGTTCATTTATGCCTGCCATCTCATTCCTTCGAAATACCTTGCTCTGGGAGGCATTCTCAGCCTCGGGGGTTGCTGCAGATTTAGAAGAAGATTGGGACAATAAGCTAGAAGTGCTCCTCTCCACCAGCGTGGAAGCCCGCTCAGCCGTGAGAAAGTACATTCGAGAGTCTGCAAAGGAATCTGTTTTGGCATTTTTGTCTGGTACCCTTGAAGGTCTGGTAACCGGCGAGCGTGAAGGCCTGCGGCAATGTGGTGTTCATTTCGTGGAAATCTGCTCGCTGGCACCCAATGACGTTGTTGAAAACTTGATCTCGCGTGCGGCATCCTTGATGGAGCCTATTTGCAGCAACAATCAAGAAAACCAGGGTATTACTGCTCGAGCATTTGGAATTCTGGTTTCGCATCCTGCCTTCTCAGAAGAGCAACTGAAGAGTTTCATCACTCAACTGACTGCTACCATCCAAACATGGAATACCGCTATTGGCTCAGAGGTCATGCGAGCCCGTGGGGCGATTTTAGCACTCTCGTATTTGTTGACTCGACTTGCGTACCGTGGTCTAGTGAACCGAGCCCCAGAAGCACAAATCAAGCAGTTTATTGAGACTCTCTTTGATATTCTAGATGTTTCCCGGGATACTCTGCTTCAAAGGACCGCCCAAGAGGCGATCGGACAGCTAAGTCTATCTGGCGTGCTGTCTCTTGATATTATCACCGAAGATGGCTGGAAAAAGATACTGGAAAAATTATCGCGCGACGCCAAAACCGAGAATCAAATCCCTATCAGTTCTCTGGGGCTGTTGACTATGACCTTTTCCCGATCTGGTTCGGATAGTACCTTGTTCAACGATTTCCTGAGTTCACTCTACAGTCTACATGAAATCCGCAGTCCCGAAGTTCAGTTCACTGTGGGCGAGGCCTTGAGCAATGTTGCTGTTGGTTGGGATTCTCGCGCTCTTATCCAAGACTTCGACATCGATGCAGAGTTCCCTCGCTCAGACGTCCCGCGCTCGGTATTTTCAGTCATCTGTGACAAGGTTATTGCCGATTGCATTGCGCCCAAGCCATCTCTGCGGAAGGCGTCTGCAATCTGGCTGCTGTCCCTGGTTAAGAACTGCGGTCACATGCAGGAAATGCAAGAGCGACTGCGTAAGTGCCAAGCTACTTTCAGCAGCCTCCTTGGAAACCGGGACGAGGTGGTGCAGGAGACTGGAGCGCACGGACTTAGCCTTGTATATGAGATCGGTGACCAATCCCTGAAAGACGATCTGGTCCAAGACCTGGTCGAGTCATTCACCTCGACTGGCCCCAATCTCGGGGGTGGCAAGATTGATGCCGATACCCAGCTATTTGAGCCTGGGGCCCTCCCCACCGGTGAAGGGTCGTCTGTCAACACCTACAAGGATATCATGAACCTTGCTGCCGAGGCTGGTGACCCCACTCTGGTCTACCGGTTTATGTCACTGGCTTCAAACAATGCTATTTGGACGAACCGTGCGGCATTTGGCCGCTTTGGAATCAGCAGCATCTTCTCTGATTCTAGCGTCGATGGCTATCTAGCGAAAAACCCTAAGATTTATCCCAAGCTTTTCCGTTACCGGTTCGACCCCAACCCGAACGTGCAAAGATCTATGAACACAATCTGGCAAGCACTAGTTAAGGACCCTACTGTTGTCATCGATACCCACTTTGATGATATCATGCAAGATCTACTCAAGAGCGTTCTAGCTGGTCGAGAATGGCGTGTTCGGCAAGCAAGTTGTGCTGCCGTGGCAGACTTGATTCAGGGTCGCCGCCCGGAAAAGTACGCCCAGTATCTCGATGAGATTTACAGCAAGGCTTTCAAATTACTGGACGATATCAAGGAGTCTGTCCGCACTGCCGCGCTGAAGCTCTGTCAAACCATTACCAATTCGGTCATCCGCACACTCGAGACGAGTGGCACGGAAAAGCGCGCAGGTACTCTACTCAAAAGTGCGATCCCCTTCCTTCTGAGCGATAAGGGACTAGATTCTAGCGTGGAAGAGGTGCAAGGATATGCCATTGGTGCTCTTATCTCAATGATCAAAAAGAGCCCTGGCAACTTACTGCGCCCACATGTTCCCAATATGCTGGAGAAGTTCCTGAGTGCGTTGAGCTCTCTAGAGCCACAGGCTGTCAACTACGTCCACCTCAATGCCGACAAATATGGTCTCACCGGTCAAGAGATTGACAAAATGCGCCTGTCCAGCATCCGCACATCACCTATGATGGAGGTGATTGAGCGGTATCTGATTGACAACCTGGATGAAAGCAATCTCGATGAAATGGCACAGAGACTCGAAGATGTGCTTCGGTCGGCCGTGGGCCTGCCGTCAAAGGTGGGTTGCAGCCGCGTTCTGGTGCTGCTTAGCATGAAAAACTTGGTCTTCCGCCCATACGCCGACCGATTTATCCAAATCCTCACCAAGTACGTGGTGGACCGAAACGACACGGTCAGCGCCTCGTACTGCTCCTCCATGGGTTATCTGCTGCGGCTCGCTTCGGACGATCGGGTTCTCAAGACCTTTGAGTATGCCAAAAACCTTTATCTGACAGCCGAGGATGCCACGCCACGCGTGATCTCCGGCGAGATCCTGTACTCGGCATCCAAACTGTCCAACGATCGGTTCATGGCATTTGCGGCGAGCGCCTTGCCGTTCGTCTTTGTCTGTAAACACGATGGTGACGAACATGTGAAAGAGCAGTTTGAGAAGACATGGCAAGATAACGTTGGTGGATCGCGTGCCGTATCGCTTTAC